CTGTTCTCAATTCTGCCCAATAGTCAAGCCCCATTCCTGTCCAAAAACACACTGGAAAACTATGACGAAACATCAACATCTCATTCCCCAAGCCTGTGGCAGCCTCTCCATTACTTCCCCCAATGAAAACAAGCTTGTCCTGAAGCTTACAGTGAGGAAACAGATGTGCTTGGACTTGTATCCGCAACCACAAGGAAACCAATGTGTTTCCATTTTGAAGTTGATCCTTATAAGCCCGCTTAGTCAATGGATGAATCTTCTTTGCTGCGTCACTTTCTTGATAAACACCCTGAAACAATGCAATTAACAGACATCCTGCAAATCGCTGTAATACAGAATGCACCAAACCCCATCGTAGAAGTTCTGAAACTGCTTGCAATGTCTCAACTTTGGTTTTCCAACGATGCCACAAATGAGAATCAGTTGGTTTAGTCTCAAGGACAAGAAAATGCCATGGCCTTTGAATTCTGAAAATCCCAATATGGACATTCTGCATCTGAATTGTGGTAGATAATAGCAGAGCCAACCACAATGTAGAGGATGCATGTAAAATGTCGTGCACAAACTGACACTGTTCTGCAGCATTGTTGTGTTTAATTGCAGGCCCTGAAATTGATTGTATTACCTTGGATCTCCATTTCTTCACCACCACAATATTGTTTCACTCCACTTAAATCTGGTCTAATACTCCTTTTATACAGCACCCTTGACATGTGAGCTTGGTTCGTTAGTCTCCGGCTCTGAAATTTTTTAATGTTAGCACTAAAACAAAGATACATGTAATGGATATTGCTGAAGTCAATGACTTGATATGGATCCATTCTTGACCTATTTCGTTGTAGATTCCTGTTGTTTTTGAACTTAAACATCCAATTCTTAGTAGACAAACTCAACTTCTTCTTTGACTGCATTATGTGACTTCTAATAGGCATTATGTCGAACACCTTGTAGGCATCAGATGAGATTTTTGCTTGAATCATCGCCAGTGTTGCAATCGATTCAGTATCACCTACTGATTCTTTTGCACTAATAGCTTCTGCTTCCTGAATCAACGATTTTGTTGCAATCGTTTCATGTGAACAAAACGATTCAACCTCCTGCGATTCAAGTGCCGGAATTGAAGCAGTAATCTCCATACTAGCAATTGAGCTTGAAGCACACATCAAATCTGCTGTTTGATCAATCTTTAGCATCAAATCTTTTTGCATATTCACTTCTGATGGAGAATTGTTTTTAACTGGATCAAATGTAGCCAACAACCTTTTTTTTTTGAATGTAATGTTAAATTATATTCAAAAGAAAAATAACGTTTTTACAACAAAGTGCATCGGGAATTTGATAAAAATTTGAAAGTGAAGAGTGAAATCAAAGTTCTAAGACAGCTAAGTATCTTAGCCGCGAGCTATAAGCCACTTTTGGTACGCCTCGTCGTACCGCCTATCTCCTAGTCTTCGGATCACTGAAATTTGGTTGCGGATTTGCTTGTCTATCCATGCCGTGATGAGAGCTCCCGAATGCGGTTGTTCTCCATGTCTTCGACCATTTCTCTCTTTCCAAATTGTATAAACAGTAACTTGAAACATATACCTAGAGAGAAAGCTCTCCACCCGGTTTTGGTGATGTGTGGAAATGTGATCAATAAGCTGTGACCAATCTGTTGAGTAGTGTGACTTAAGAACTCCCTTCGCGAGATCCGCCCAAATAGCAGAACTGTAAGCACAGGAGAAGAACAAATGGTCTCTAGTCTCTATGCACCCGTTACAGAACACACAAAGACCCGAGGCACCTCCATTCCATCGAAGCATACGGTCACCCGTAGATAGCCTATCGCGAGCCGCCAACCAGACACAAAAGGAGTATTTGGGGGTTGCATGAGCAAACCATACTCCTTTGTGCCAAGTGATAGTAGCAGAGGTCGTTCTAATGTATCCTTAGTCGAAAATTGTGGCCTGAAAACATCATTTTTTGATCGCCATAAAACTGTATCATTTTTCCCATTTCTCCTCTGCCACTGTTCAAACAGAGCAGCCTCCGTCTCATTGAGAAAACCAGAGCGGTGCCGTCTTCTCCGATGGTTGGCCCAAGCTTGCGCCACTGTGCTTGTTTGGCTAATTCCCAAATCAATAATACCTCTTGCACCCGCCGTATCATATAACCGTCCCAAGCTTGACCAATGATCATACCAAAAAGATGTGAGCTCTCCATTTCCCACTTCCACTTTGCAGAAACTCTTTGCCACATCTCTATACTTGATGATTTTTTTCCATATCCATGAACCCATACTCGTGGAACTTTTAACCGACCAAAAAGATGATTTTTTAAGGAGATTCTCTTTAACCCAGGAGACCCATAAGGAATTACCATTGGAGACTATACGCCAGATTAGTTTCAAGCAGCAAACATTATTAGCTTCCTTAAGCGATCGCAACCCCAATCCTCCTTCATACTTTGGCTTACACACTGTTTCCCAAGAAACTTTAGCCTTGCTTGTTCTCAGCTCCGAACCGGACCATAGAAAAGCAGAACATAGTTTCTCAACTCCTTCGATACAATCTCTTGGTAGTCGAAATGCCGCCAACCAAAAATTACATATGCTCCACAAAACTGAAGAAATCAAATTCAATCGACCCGCAAAAGAGAGATATCGTGCTGTCCAAGATTCAATGCGTTTCTTGATTTGTTCTAATAACGGAGCATAATCTGCGGTTGTGAAACGCTTTGTGACTAGTGGAAGCCCCAAATAACGAACAGGGAGATTTCCCATAGCAAACGGATAAGTTGCAGCAATTTGTTGAAATGTAGTGGATGATGTACCGGCCAAGTATAGAGTGGACTTTTCCATACTAATCTTTAAACCTGAACACTTAGCAAACTCATCAAATACCGCAATGATTCCTTCCACGGAGCGGACTTTACCATCGGACAGGACCATAAGATCGTCCGCAAAGCTTAGGTGTGTTAAACCTAAGGATTTGCAGCGTGGATGATAACCAAAATGCCGAGCCACTGCAGCCTTGTCGAGCATTTTTGATAGAATATCCATACTTATCACAAACAGATATGGAGAGAGCGAACATCCCTGTCTTAATCCCCTTGAACTTCGGAAAAAACCGGCTAGTTCACCATTAACCTGAACCGAGAAAGAGGCTGTGGTGACGCACAACATAATCCAATGTATAAACGTTGGTGGGAAATTCAGTGCAGTAAGAGCTTTGTTTAAGAACGACCATTGTACAGAATCGAACGCTTTGGAAATATCTATCTTGATCGCACAGCGGCTTGAAATGGAGTCCTTGTGGTAATCCTTAACCAGTTCCGTGGCAAGTAATAAGTTTTCGATTAAGAGACGGTCTTGAACAAACGCGGATTGGTTTGCAGCGATGAATTTAGGTAGGATCCTCTTGAGACGATTAGCAATGATCTTGGAGATAACCTTGTAAATCACGTTACAACACGAAATAGGTCTATAATCTTTCATCTCTTTTGCGCCTTTCTTCTTCGGAATGAGTGCAAGAATGGTAGAATTCAGACCTTTTGGTAGGAACCCTTTTGCAAAGAAAGATTGGATAGACAAAATGAACTCTGGACCAATCACCGCCCATGACGCCTTGTAAAATTCTGTGGTGTAACCATCTGGTCCAGGAGATTTATCCTTTGGCATTGAAAAAAGAACCTTCTTCACCTCTTCTCCTGTGACTACGGACGTGAGCCTCTCACAGTCCTCAGCGGAACACCTAAAATTTAGGAGCTCTTGAAGCTTCTCCACCGATGTACCCTCAAAATCACTAGGAATAAATTGCAAGAATTCTCTGAAATGTCTCTCAGCTTCTGTTTTTTTCTCTTCTTCTTCCACAACCACACGACCATCAGGACACAAGATCTCTTTAATGCAATTATTTGCTTCCCGGGTAGCAACTGCTCGGTGGAAAATCTTATTGTTCCTATCTCCCACCTCCAACCAATGGAGTTTTGATTTCTGTTTAAGAAATTTCTCTTCTAACCCAGACACGTGATCCCATCTATCGTATGCTTCATTCTCTTCAGCCATCGAAAGCGGTGTAGGATTAGCTGCGTTGGCTTGTTGTTTTAAACAAAGTACGTCATAAGCTTCTCTTGTTTTCTTAACCAAATTTCCCAGTCTCTCTTTTGCCAAGGAACGCAGTTTAGGCTTCAAAGCTTTCAACTTCTTTGAAAAACGAAACAGTGTTGATGTTGATAAGAACAAGTGCTCTGTTTCCCTCCAATAGTTATCAACCAGTGGCAAGAAATCCTCCATTTCCGTGAGAGCATTGACAAACTTGAAAGGTTTCCATCCCCTAACAATGTTCTTTGCTCCACCAATATTCATTATCCGACACCTCAAATGATCCGAGATACCTCATGCTTCAAAAACAGAGTAAGACTGCGGGAAAGATTGCAGCCACACATCATTTATCAAGACTCGGTCCAGTTTTTTTAAAATCAAATCATTCTCCCTCTTATTACACCAGGTGTATAAGGGACCTTGTGATGCCATGTCTGAGACTGAACAATAGTTTACTAAGCTTTGAAAATCCCTCATAGCAGCAGTGACCTGCGGGTGATCATCAAACCGAGAGTGTTCCGCCATGTCTAAAGTGACATTAAAATCCCCTAATATCAACCACGAATTGTTTCGAAATAAAGGTGAGTCATAGTGATCCCTTAACTCCTTCCACAATTCTTTCCTTTCCTCCACATCATTTGAAGCGTACACAAATGTACAAAAAAATTCATCTTCTTGTCCTTCCAACTTCACCGAACAAGTGATGAGTTGAGCACTTTTGTAAAACGGACTTAATCTCACATTATTCTGCCAAACAACCCAAATGCGACCTCTATGATTGTGTTCATAGTTTGTCATAACCGACCATCCATTAAATAACTGCCTCCCAATCCTTTGAGCCTTCCTCTCGCTAACCCGAGTTTCAAGTAGACAACCAAACTGAAAATTATTTTCCACCACCCATTTTCTAATTACGGAATGCTTTGAATATTTATTTAAACCCCGGACATTCCAGAAGAAACCCGACATTAAATATGTTTTGGAGGTATCTTCTTGCTCTGATCTCTAGAGGGGTCCCTAGCCGAAGAAGCAGGAAGATGAGAAACCGTTTTATGGGCTGTTTTTGAGTCACGAGGTAAGGATGGTCGCAGAGGCAATATAGCCTTTGCTGCACGGCCCTTTGTGACAGTTTCTTGTGCCGGGGCTGACTCACTTTGTTTGTTTGTTGATACCAAAACAGGTAGCAAAGGCCCTGTTTCCTCTGGAGCTTGCTCGACTACTGTTTCGTCCTCAACACCAAGAACAGAGTACGAGTTTGACAGAATTGAAACTTCTCCAAATTTTAAATCCTCACGTCTTTTACCCGGGCTGCTACGACCATTTTTTGGGGTTATCCACCCCGTACCTTCTTCTGCTTCTTTCTCCTCTTCCACCTTTTTCTCCGTTGCAGCCTTTGCCATATCAACATGTTCTGTCCCCGATAGATTAAGAGAGGCTCCCGTTTTCTCCAAGGCATCTACTGGAGTAGGCTCAGAATTCTCAATAACTTGAGACTCTGTAGTCTTTGTTGAAAGACAAGTGCTCCTAAGATGTCCCCATTTCTTACATCCGGTGCACCGTGGTGGTAACCATGGGTAAGAATACTTAATAATCGAATCTACCTCTCCTTCCTCCTCACCTGTGAAAACGTATTCTGAAGGTAAATCCTTGGTCAAATCCGCTACCACTAAGATCTGTGCCTCATCAAACTTCACACATGACTCTGTTTTTGGGTGAAGCCGTTTTGGTTCACCCACTGCACTTGCTAAAAACTCAAGGCCTTTATCCGTGAACATTGTCGGAGGAAGTCCAATCTCTGATTCTGAACTCTAGTGTCGACATCTCCTGAAGAAACCATTTCAACGCAGCTCCTTCTAGGCACAAAAATACGAGATCAAGTTTTGCTTCCTTGTTACAGGAAAATGGTAGAATGGATGACGTGGAGGAATGAAGGAAGATGATTGGTGGAGGCGAGAATGATGCGTTGGCAGAAGTTAATTGGTTGAAGGAAGAAGAGAGCAAGAGCACGATATAAAGAGAGCTTGAGAACAGTTGCAGAATTAATCAGAAAATTTGTAAAAGTTTGTTATCTTCTCCTTGAATCTCTTTCTTTTGTTAGGTTCTCATCTAGAGACCTAGAGATGATGATCGAAGCTGCGTTTCATGAACGTTGTTTTGGTTAACTTTGGAATTGAAGTGTTGATTGATCGATCGGTGAAGAAAGCTGTATCAAAGGTATCAGAGCTACTCTTTTCTCGGAGCTATGGGTGTGGAAATGAGAGCTCAGCTGACGGCGGGAGAGGCGAAGTTGAAAGCGGTGTCGGAGGAAGATCCGGTTGGATCGCGACTCACAAAAATGGAGGAGATGATCGCGGATCAGAATCGGAGGATGGATAAACACATCGCGGAGATGCTTGAAACGATTCGATTAAACAGATTTGAGAGAGTTTTAGATGATCCAATTGCAGAGTTGGAGCAGCTAAAAGAGACGAACGGTATTGTTGAGTATCACAAGAAGTTTGAGCTGCTTAGAACAAGAGTGAATTTGGCAGAAGATCACTTGGTTAGGGTATATTTGGATGGTCTACAAACAGATACTCAAGTGAATGTGCAAATGTTTCAACCTCAAACAGTGGAGCAGTGTTTGTTGATTGGAAGATTGTATGAGCAAGCACATCGTAGAAGCAACATTGATAATATTGAGATCCTTCCACTTAAGAGAGATAAAGAACTAAAAGCGGAGGAGTATAAAGAAGTGATAGAAATTGAGGTTGAATCTGAGGTTGAGACAAAATCAATGGAAAAGATAAAACATGAAGCGATCTTGAAGGAAGAATTGATTACACAATCTCAGGAGGTAGAATCGTTTTGTGCACAAGAAACAATTACAGAAGTGAATCGTCCAAAAGAATCGTTAGGTGAAACATTGGAGATGGTTGTTCAAGCAAAAATTTCATCTGTTGGTAAGGTGGAATCTGATGCCTACAAGGTGTTCGACAGAATGCCTATTAGTAGTCATATAGTACAGTCACGGAAGAAGAAGAATTTGTCACCTAAGTCATGGATGTTCAAGTTTAAAAACATGACTCTGCCGAGAAATAGGTCACAAATGGATCTCCACCAAGTCTTTGACATAAGCAAAATCAATAATTCATATCCTTGTTCTAGTGTTAACGTTGGATTTGTGAGGAAGAAGAGAACATTTCAGCGCCTGAGACTAAAGAAGCAAGCTCATATGTCAAAGATTCTATGTAAACAGAGAATGTTGCATGATCCAGGAGGCATGAAAAACCTTCTACATGGTGATATGAAACCTATGTTCTTGTGTATAGTGAAATCAGGGGAAGCGACTGATATTGCACAAGAGGAATCACAAACGGGCAGATTTCTTTCGCCTTCTTCGGATTCACAGTTGATGCTACAAGCGGTTCTGGTGGTGTTCCAAGGGATTTTTACAGTGCAGCCACCATGTCATCGCAGTTTGTCTGAGCCCGTATCTTGGTTTAACACTTTGACTACAAGAGATTCATGGAACAATGCTTACTGTGCAACCAAGTCCATACATATTGAGGTTGGATTATGGAACAAATGGAAATCTAAGCACGCAGGAGCAATTTCGGATGTATTACGACTTCAACATACACGTTTGATTTGGCTCTGTATTGTTTGTGTGTTGGCTGAAAGTATGATAAAGAAGCATGCACATATGTGCTTGTTTGGTAGCAACAGTTGTGTTTCAACTTTGGGAAAGAGGAAGTTAGACAAAGATTGGTGGTTTAAATACAAGACAGCCGCAATGGCTAAAGATTTACTGATGATGAAGTTGTCACACGCTTGGCGATTACGAATTAGACAACAGAGGATGATGAAGTTGTCACAAGCTTGGCGATTCAAATCAGCTCGTCTCTTCTTTTATCCAAATAACGAGGCCTACGAGCTACAGGGCTTGGAGCTATAGTTCCAATGGAAGAGGCTGCATGGGAGTTACTCTATGAATTGACAAAGAAGTTTCCATGAACCTTGTGGTCAAGGTTCTCTGAGAAAGGGAGATTTGTTACAGGAAAATGGTAGAATGGATGACGTGGAGGAATGAAGGAAGATGATTGGTGGAGGCGAGAATGATGCGTTGGCAGAAGTTAATTGGTTGAAGGAAGAAGAGAGCAAGAGCACGATATAAAGAGAGCTTGAGAACAGTTGCAGAATTAATCAGAAAATTTGTAAAAGTTTGTTATCTTCTCCTTGAATCTCTTTCTTTTGTTAGGTTCTCATCTAGAGACCTAGAGATGATGATCGAAGCTGCGTTTCATGAACGTTGTTTTGGTTAACTTTGGAATTGAAGTGTTGATTGATCGATCGGTGAAGAAAGCTGTATCAAAGGTATCAGAGCTACTCTTTTCTCGGAGCTATGGGTGTGGAAATGAGAGCTCAGCTGACGGCGGGAGAGGCGAAGTTGAAAGCGGTGTCGGAGGAAGATCCGGTTGGATCGCGACTCACAAAAATGGAGGAGATGATCGCGGATCAGAATCGGAGGATGGATAAACACATCGCGGAGATGCTTGAAACGATTCGATTAAACAGATTTGAGAGAGTTTTAGATGATCCAATTGCAGAGTTGGAGCAGCTAAAAGAGACGAACGGTATTGTTGAGTATCACAAGAAGTTTGAGCTGCTTAGAACAAGAGTGAATTTGGCAGAAGATCACTTGGTTAGGGTATATTTGGATGGTCTACAAACAGATACTCAAGTGAATGTGCAAATGTTTCAACCTCAAACAGTGGAGCAGTGTTTGTTGATTGGAAGATTGTATGAGCAAGCACATCGTAGAAGCAACATTGATAATATTGAGATCCTTCCACTTAAGAGAGATAAAGAACTAAAAGCGGAGGAGTATAAAGAAGTGATAGAAATTGAGGTTGAATCTGAGGTTGAGACAAAATCAATGGAAAAGATAAAACATGAAGCGATCTTGAAGGAAGAATTGATTACACAATCTCAGGAGGTAGAATCGTTTTGTGCACAAGAAACAATTACAGAAGTGAATCGTCCAAAAGAATCGTTAGGTGAAACATTGGAGATGGTTGTTCAAGCAAAAATTTCATCTGTTGGTAAGGTGGAATCTGATGCCTACAAGGTGTTCGACAGAATGCCTATTAGTAGTCATATAGTACAGTCACGGAAGAAGAAGAATTTGTCACCTAAGTCATGGATGTTCAAGTTTAAAAACATGACTCTGCCGAGAAATAGGTCACAAATGGATCTCCACCAAGTCTTTGACATAAGCAAAATCAATAATTCATATCCTTGTTCTAGTGTTAACGTTGGATTTGTGAGGAAGAAGAGAACATTTCAGCGCCTGAGACTAAAGAAGCAAGCTCATATGTCAAAGATTCTATGTAAACAGAGAATGTTGCATGATCCAGGAGGCATGAAAAACCTTCTACATGGTGATATGAAACCTATGTTCTTGTGTATAGTGAAATCAGGGGAAGCGACTGATATTGCACAAGAGGAATCACAAACGGGCAGATTTCTTTCGCCTTCTTCGGATTCACAGTTGATGCTACAAGCGGTTCTGGTGGTGTTCCAAGGGATTTTTACAGTGCAGCCACCATGTCATCGCAGTTTGTCTGAGCCCGTATCTTGGTTTAACACTTTGACTACAAGAGATTCATGGAACAATGCTTACTGTGCAACCAAGTCCATACATATTGAGGTTGGATTATGGAACAAATGGAAATCTAAGCACGCAGGAGCAATTTCGGATGTATTACGACTTCAACATACACGTTTGATTTGGCTCTGTATTGTTTGTGTGTTGGCTGAAAGTATGATAAAGAAGCATGCACATATGTGCTTGTTTGGTAGCAACAGTTGTGTTTCAACTTTGGGAAAGAGGAAGTTAGACAAAGATTGGTGGTTTAAATACAAGACAGCCGCAATGGCTAAAGATTTACTGATGATGAAGTTGTCACACGCTTGGCGATTACGAATTAGACAACAGAGGATGATGAAGTTGTCACAAGCTTGGCGATTCAAATCAGCTCGTCTCTTCTTTTATCCAAATAACGAGGCCTACGAGCTACAGGGCTTGGAGCTATAGTTCCAATGGAAGAGGCTGCATGGGAGTTACTCTATGAATTGACAAAGAAGTTTCCATGAACCTTGTGGTCAAGGTTCTCTGAGAAAGGGAGATTTGTTACAGGAAAATGGTAGAATGGATGACGTGGAGGAATGAAGGAAGATGATTGGTGGAGGCGAGAATGATGCGTTGGCAGAAGTTAATTGGTTGAAGGAAGAAGAGAGCAAGAGCACGATATAAAGAGAGCTTGAGAACAGTTGCAGAATTAATCAGAAAATTTGTAAAAGTTTGTTATCTTCTCCTTGAATCTCTTTCTTTTGTTAGGTTCTCATCTAGAGACCTTGAGATGATGATCGAAGCTGCGTTTCATGAACGTTGTTTTGGTTAACTTTGGAATTGAAGTGTTGATTGATCGATCGGTGAAGAAAGCTGTATCATTCCTCCGCGTAACGGCCAATACTGAAAAACCTATCCACTTCCGAAATCCACAGCGATGGATTTGTTCCATCAAACACAGGCATAGCAATACAACCAGCGAATTCACCGACGGATCCATTTGTCTAGAATTGTTGCTCTATAATCTCTTTTGGGTCAGATCATCTACTAAGTTTATGATGGAAGATATATAGAAATATGAAACTGATGAGTGATGAGATTAGACATTGATTGCTCAGCAAGTTCAAGAACTCCTAAACTATGTTGAAGAAATCGCAAGGACGAATGAAAAAACCGTATATGGATGATCTATCTCACGAGATAAGAGTGAGAACAAAAATGAAAATTTATAGAATACTCATCCCCACTTTTGATGTCTTATGATTGCTTATTACATCTGGTTCTCAGGAAAATGAGACAGCATTTCAAGAAAAGCAGAGGCAGATTTTAGAAATGAAGGTGAACCAACAAGGAATGTCTCATATGATAAAAGATATGAAGTCTCATGAAAATCAACAGAGCAAACAGAGTCGAAAAAACATTCAAGAGATATTGTAGTTAGTAGGCTCACGATGGATCTCACAAGGGCAGAAAGAATGACCATGCAACTTAAAAGAAATGCCAAAAAGTGCATCATTCTGTGATTGATATTGTGATCAAAAGACCAAATTTTATCCTAGATGAATTTGTGATTTTTTTTTTCTCCTTAATGATTCTTATTGTTGAGAGATTATTTTTTCTAAGTTGGGTTAGTTTTCTGGTTTCTTTCAAGAATTTCTATCTCATTGATAATATGTGTAAGAAAAATGGAAATGAAGGTGAATCTGTCTTGCAACTACTACTCTAGAATTTTAGTTTCAGTCTTTCAGAGAAGAAATTGCTTCTCTTCTGTTTCGAAGAAAACAGTGTATGCACCTTTTCGTGTGTCTTACGTTTCAAAATTTAATGTTGAATAAGTTCAGGCCACTGTTTATTTGCAGGAGTAACTTTTTCTGTAGGTTATCTATTTCAGGAATGATGAAAGGAAAAACTTCAGAGATTCCTTTTTAGATTTTTCGGATCACTTGAATGGAAGATTCATATCGATCAATCATAATGGCAGCTTTAAGGTTGTTTCTTCAGGGAAAGGTAAAAGGATAAAGAGAAATCGCAGCGCGATTGGACCGACAAAACTTGTAAAGATTGTTATCTTTCTCTTAGATTCCTTTCTTGTCAGACTTCTTTTGGTTTTTATTAAGATCTTCTCGCCAGTATTCTTTTCTTTCTCAATTTGTCTAATGAATATTCTGTTTTGTCTCTATAAATTACAAAACTATTTCTTTGAATTGTGATAACATTTCGTTTTGAGCTTTTCTCAGGTATGTTCTGCTAAAGATAACAAGTTTTTCTAACTTCTTGATTATTTTGTTACCTTTCTTTAGTCATTTCAAGAACCATCACTAGCCATTAACTTTTCTTTTTTAGGGTTAATAGATTGGAAAATATGGCGTTGCATTCGACTGCACTTAACGTGGAGAATGATTGGAAACCTGAAAGAACTCTTGTTCTACTCGGTCGAACAGGGAATGGTAAAAGCGCAACGGGAAACAGCATTCTAGGTAAAACTATGTTTCAGTCAAAAGCAAGAGGAAAATTCATTACCAAAGAATGTAAGCTACATAAATCCAAGCTACCAAATGGTCTGACCATCAATGTTATCGACACTCCTGGTGAGTTTTTAATGCTGTCTATCAATTCACTCTTTTTCTTAAAACATTTACACTAAGATTAATCTAATGGTACTTTCAGGTCTGTTTAGTGCTTCCTCGACGACAGATTTTACCATCAGAGAAATCATTAGATGCTTGCTTCTAGCTAAAGGTGGTATCGATGCAGTGCTTCTTGTCTTCTCTATAAGGAATCGGTTAACAGAAGAAGAACAATCAACGCTTCGCACATTAAAGATCCTTTTCGGAAGTCAAATCGTTGACTATATAATCGTTGTTTTCACCAATGAGGATGCACTTGAGTATGGAGAAACTTTGGATGATTATTTGGAAGATTGTCCTGAATTTCAGGTTTGTTTATAATCTTTCACCAAGAGCGGTTAATGTCGTGTGAAATTTCAGCATTTCTTACATGATACATCTTTATAACTTCAAAATTTTCTTTATATATAGGAGATTCTCAAAGAATGTGATGATCGTAAAGTGTTGTTTGACAATAGTTATAATGCCCCTGTGAGCAAGAAAGAAAGACAAGTCAATGATCTTCTCAACCTCGTCGAACAAATCTCAAAGAAGAACAATGGAAAATCTTATATGGCTGACTTATCACATGAGCTAAGGGTAAAAAAAAGGACAGATTCTTTTTACAAAACAAGATTATATTTCACATTTTGTATAGTGTGAAATATCTGAGTTAAAATTTCATCTACTTTTTCTAGGAGAATGAGGCCACTATAGAGGAAAAGCAGAAGCAGATTGAAGCAATGAAAGGTTGGTCTTCAAAACAAGAGATATCTCAAATGAAAAAGGAACTAGAGAAATCGCATAACGAAATGCTCGAGGGGATAAAAGAAAAGGTAAAACCAATTCAAACATTGGTTTATATGTTAATGTGTATATGAATAAATCATCATTACAAGTTGTTTTCTTTGGTTAGATCTCTAATCAGCTGAAGGAGTCATTGAAAGATGTGAAGGAGCAATTAGCTAAGGCACAAGCCGAGAGAGAAGAAACCGAGAAAAAGATGAATGAAATTCAGAAACTATCTTCTGATGAGATCAGGAGGCTGAGAGAACAACTCAACAAAGCTGAGAAAGAAACTGCTTCGTTACGCACCGAACTCAACAAGAAATGTACTGTTCTTTGATCATATCTTAAAATGCTATGTATGTATAATCATAATAATCACATACCATAACATGTATGATATATGAAACAATAAACCAAAGTCTTGAAGGATTATATCAAAATCTTCATTGTACTTTGATCTAATAATACATCAAAAACATATGTTATGTTTTCTGTTTCTTTAATGATATGTATGTGCTCTGTTTCATGATCATAAGAATCACTAAATCAGATACCATAAAATAGATATTATGAGATATGAAACAATAAAAATCAGAGTATGACATGACGTCATCATTACACAACACAATTTCCAGTGAGTCTTGAAGGATCAATACCTTCATTGTACTTTGAATTATTATCATAAACCAAAACATATTTTATATGTAGATAAATCTGAGCAGGAATCTCAGAATGCAGAGCTATATAAACCGTTATTGCAGCTCGGTTTTTCGCCCACGAGATTAACCGAGATGAAGGATTTTCTTGTCGGGGTCAGAGTAAGAACCTCCATTACCAGAACCAGAACCAGCAGTCATAATGCTATGAGCAAAGTAATTGCGTGAGGCTAAAGCTTCGATGGCGGTGATCTCTGAACCACTAACCATTTGATGATGGTGTTGTTGATACCTCTCCACTTCTGCTACCTGTTAAGAAACATATTAATTAGTTAAACAAGTGACTGATTTGATATGTCTATGGAATTAACAAACAGATTAATAATGTTTTAAACCTTAGTTCGTAGATAGATATTCTCATTATCAAGCTCAATCTCCTGCAAAATATACCATATTCAAAGATTCATCACACATATTTATTCAAATATATGTAGTGCTTAACTAGATTTTAGAGCAACCATTTTGAGCTTTCCTTACCCTTTTCTGCGCGTTTTCGATTTCAACTAGAAGCAACTCATGCTGTTTTTTCACAAGAACACAAAGCAAATTTAGAATATGTATTGTATATACATAGATTTATGAAACTAATAACACAAACAAACTTATAAATAAGAGTTTTTTAATATGTTGTATATGTACCTTCTTAGACCTGATCCTAGAGATAGCTTTTTCAAGGCGATTCTCAACTTGTTTTAGTTCCTTGACACTTAAGGAACTCAAAGATTCTCCCATCAGATTCCTACAACGTTTTTAAAAATGTGTTACACTCATTACATTTACATATAAATATGGGTGAAAAAGCTGGTAAAATATAGTTCAGATATATATAAAACCTGTTGGAATTTTGAATTGTTTGGATCTGTTGTCTCAGCTTTGCAGATTCTTGTTGATAGTACTGTAATTTAAGCATCATCACTCTATAAGAACATATATGCATACGTATATATATGTTATGTTAATAAAGTAAAGATCATGGAGACAAAGAGTGACACCGCGGCATTGATTTCTTGGACAGTGCTAGTGTTGGTGCTATCAGAACAAGCTTTCTTGTACCTTTCAATGGTTGATCTTATGCTGTTACAAAAAAACCATCCAATTAAGTCAAGAACATACTTATGCAATTAATCAGTACTTTGGTAGTCTTACAAATTACAATTAGTGTCTAAAGAAGAAATCGAGTATATTATGGCCACCATTTTTGTTTGTCTAAACAAACAATGAAATGGAAATGTACACAAACCTAAACGCAGATAAACAATTCCACCCTAATCAGTTTGAGCTAATCACACCCTAAAATATTTTAAAATATATAAGATCTCAAAAAAAAAAAAAAAGGTTTTGTCGAAAAAAACGTATATTAACAAACAAACAATGTATTATGTATATATTATGTATATAAACTCTGAATAATGTGGAACAATAATAAGTTTTTTTTTGTATACAAATATGGAACTTAATTTGAAATTGGGTTGTAACTGAAGGACAGAAAGTGGAGATGAGACTATGTGTCATGTAAAAAAAGAAAAAAAAAAAAAAAACTGAATGTTTTGGATATATAATATAGTTTGAAGTGAGTGACTTAAAAGGAAATGGAAGATATAATATGAAAAAGCCAAAACAAAACATGAAGAAATAGACCTGATCTGCTTAAGATGAAAGAGGAAAAGAGAGTACAACAAAACTACATGACATCTCTCGCTGCACAACTGTTTTAAGTTCCAAGAACAACTTTGACAAAAGCAAAAAAATCAAAAAGACTTGTTGACCAACTGCAACTGCAAGTTATCTAGCATGATTTTGGCACTTAAACCCATTGTACTCTCTTTTTCTCTTTCTCTATCTCTTTAAGATTTTCTTTTTTTGATAACCTGACTTTTAAGATTTTCTCAAGATACATAGGTAATAATGTAATATATGAAAGGGAATCTACAATCTATGACCATAGACGACTCGTTATTTAGTTCTCTCTCCTCACCACTTTTTGACCTTTACTGTATATGTCATAATGACAATCTAATCCCTAATGTATCTCTCTTTCTCTTTCATGTCTCTCTTTCTCTTTCATTTCTCTCTTCGGTTTCTACTTCAATCTAAACCCACAAAAATTCAACAAAAAAAATAAAATGGTTTCAGAAACAAAATTGCAGAGAGCCAAAGCTGGCCGGATAAGCAAATTCGTGAGTTGTGTGGTTGACTTGTGACAATGGTAGTTTTAATTCGGCGAAAACAAAAATCAAGGGAGAAGAATAGATTTTGTCGGTGGAAAACGATCAATGTCACATTCGTCATGGTTCAAGCTGTGTTTAAAAATGATAATGGTCGATTTGATTTTGTGACAGAGAGAACCGGTCGATTTTGGTTGTCCCGACTTCGATTCCATGAAGGTTGAAACCAAGACACAATGGTAGTTTCAAATCTCGGTGGTAATTTCGAAACCCAGCAGAATTGTGGAATGAATAATTTGTTAGCTGGGTTTTGATGAGGTTTATTGAGCAAAAGAGAGAAACTGGCATCATTGGCAGCAACGACCATTGTCTCATTTTTCTGGGTTCGATTTTGTTATATGGGTAACAATTTAATTAGCAACACATACAAAAATGCTAACGTATAAGTTAAACGTGATAACTAAATTATCATTATAAATAAGTATGCTAATATATAAGTTAACGGTTATAATTAATTATTAGAGTAAATAAACAGGTTTTTATATAAATTAGTTGATACCAATCAAATAGTCAACGATTTAATATGATAAATCTGAGCATACGTTGTATAAGTTACATGTTAATATAAATATTATCCATATATCGAATATTTTACCATGTTCATACAAATATTATTCAGATATGTAATATGTTAGCACGTTATTATTTAATATTAACATATAATTTGTAACTTATCGCGATACTAAATTATTTAGCATGTGTTATCTGCATATTATCGTGTCGAAATGAACAGTGTCACACACATATTAACCTTATTTTAATCAGTGGCATTTTGGTAATTAATCCAAAAAAGAAGGATATTTTTGGTTTACATTTTCTTTCTCTTTCCTACTTATCTAATTTTCAAATCACCATGGATTTAAATCTAATTATTTGGTCAATTGTGGATTTAAATTAATATAGCCCTATATGAAAAATAGTATGTATATATGATGTAAGAAAAAATAGTATGTTTATATAGTACTACTTTTGGACTTGTGTATATTTATGTTTACTTTTATCAAATATGAAATATCCATGAAATTAAAACTTCATATGTATGTTATTTGCTATATGGTGTTGCTTAGTCTAGATATTTTTTTTTTGAATGGTTCAACCTATAGACCACTAAAAAATCTCATGTCTAGATATCAAATCTCTTCTATGTTTTATCTCTATAATTTTGCATCAATTTACTTCATAAACTAAGACCTATACGAAAATATTGCAAAAGATAAATCATTTCTGTAGCTCTAATGTATCTTATGGTAGCTCTTAATAACAATGCACTAAAAATCAATTTTCAAACGATCACAAACAAAAGTTGACACATTTCTCAAACTTTCTATATTTTATTAGCTAGGAGATCTATGGTTGGAATGAAATGGCTTACTTGTTATTGGCGTACTCATAGAGACGGCCACGAGTGGAGAAGACAATGAGCGCAACTTCTGCATCGCAAAGGACTGAAAGCTCATAGGCTTTCTTCAGAAGTCCATTTCTTCTTTTGCAAAACGTCACTTGTCGATTTGTTGAGTTCTCTATCCTCTTTATTTCTATCTTTCCTCTTCCCATCCTTCATTTTAAACACATCAAACAACACTTAGAATTGCTCAATTTCGGCAGTATTGATAAGATAATTATAAAGACACAAATTATTGATAGACTGCAAGAAAGATATCAAAGAATTTATACCAGAAAATTTCAACATTTTTCGTAGCTAATTAAAAAAAGGAGGAGGATAAACAAAACCCTAAAGCTAGGGTTTGAATTAATATACTTAATTAATACTCACCACACTCAACTTTTATTTTAAAAAACAAGTTTTCTTTTTGTATCCAACTTTCTCGGGAAATTAAATTAAGGATGTTGTTGATTGATCTCAAGGACAGACAAGAATCAAATTGGATCTGATGCTGCTGAAACTAAAGTCTAAGAATTTATTCAAATCTTACACTTTATACATATGAACATCTAACCATGTAGAGGATCATATATATTACATGTAATTCTTCTTAAATAGCTAGATTTCTATATGTATGATCTATATACTTAATCAACTCATCAGTTTTTTTTTCTTTTTTTTTTTAAAAGGAAGAAGCCAGGGAGGTAAAATCTGACAATACATGGTTTTTTGGTACCCAGATACAAATTATTTTGACCCATCCCTTGTACGATCTCTCTCCCTCCCTCTCTCTTCAATAAATATCTATAAGGTTTCATGGGGTCAAATGGAAAACAACATATACATAATGATCTTAGATCTGGAAGATGTAAATACTTTTGCCTGTGTAATATGTTTTACAAATTCATTGATCTATAATTTGATGTATATACACATTTTTTAGTTTCATTTCATGGTAAAAGATTAAAGGATTTTGCATAAAGAAAAAATAATGGAAATATGGAGAGAGAAAACAAATTAAATTGTCAAATTGATATTGAAGAGGAAGAAGAAGGCACTGATGCACATGAAACTGAAGTTATAGTACATAAGGGAAACACAAGAAACATTATTATTACACAGAAAGAAGAGAGAGAGAGAGAGAAAACCATGCTTAGTTTCGAGAAGAGGAAGAAGAAAAACAACAGATTTAGAAGATTTTCAGACCAAAAAACTCCACTTTAGCTGACAAGAAAGGAAAGAGAATCTAGCAGAGATCTACATGTGAGAAACTTAAAAAAAATAGATAACCTAATTCTTTAATCTGGTGATCTTTCTTTGTCTCTCTTTCTTTCATGGGGAAAGAGCATCAAATCGGAAGAGAGTAAAAAATAAAAACGGAAAATATTTCATAATTGTGAAAATTAAGTTTTTGTGAAGAGACAAGCAAAGAAAAAACCCATGATGACAAGAAATATTATTACAAGATTGGAATCTGCATATATAGAGAGATATAAATGTAGAGTTTTTGAATGAAGAGATGTGTACAAAGATGGGAACTTGATGAGATCAAGAAGTGTTTTTCCTTTATGAGAAGAAGAAGTAAAGACATGACAGACAGACCTGAGAATTTGCTTCACCCAACTCAATTCAGCTTTCGGAAACTCTCTTTCTCTCTCTTTCTCCTTTATAAGAAAACAAAACAAAAGAAAAAAAGAGGAAAGTTTTTTTGAGTTTTTTGAGAATCCCAAAAACAAACCCAAATTCTTTTCTCTTCAAAAACCCTAAGCTTCCCACTCAATATGTCTATTTGTAGACGTTTCTTTCTTCGCTCACCTTCCAATGTCCAAAGTGAGAATGCGATTGCTGCGGTTGCGGTTGCCAATGCAATTGCTATATTAAAAAAAAAAAAGTTTATGTATGACTAGGAATCTCAAATTGTGGCATGGTGCCATAAAAATTTAAGATTGAAAGAAAAATAATAATGAGCAACCAAAAAAAGTTATTTTAACCTTTCTTTTAAGCTAAATCGCATATATAAAATATTGATTTTAAGATTCCTGCAAAAACTCTAAAGTGTTAATATATATTTATTGTTTAGTTTCAATTTTTGAGAGAAATTGTGAGACTCTAGCTAAGGAACATGCGTCATCATTTCATATTTTGGCCAAGTTCACGTACGGCATGACCAAGATTTGGTATTTCGAAATTATGTATCGTTCTAATTTTTATTACTCGATATATATATGGGCTAAGAGTTTTAGTTACCGGTATAAAAGATGGTGGTTAAAATAAAACTTAAAAACTATATACCAATTTTTTTTTTTTTTTTTTTTTTTTTTTTTTTTTTTTTTTTTTGACATCTTTGGATCGACAAGGCCCGATTCATAGCCAATCCCTACTACGCGGGGTAACGCGACTTAGTGGAGTCGAACTCCGGTGGGGAAGGCGGAGTCAAGTGGACTTAACCACTTGACTAAAGGCACATCCCCCAAAAAAAAAAAAAAAACTATATACCAATTCATGGCGGTTCAAATGATTATTTATCGTGAAGTTGAAGGGTTAGAGTCGAATCTTCTCACATTTTTATTTCGAATCATGGATGGCCTCTAATCTCGTGGGTTAATCTGAAATTTGATTTTGAAATTTTTAGGAAAATAAAAGGCAAAACAGAGATAACATTTCACTAAATATATGAAACGACAAGAAATATTGATTTAATTAAACTTTGATTCGTGATATTTTAGGCTTTAAAATATATTTTCATTATAATTATTTTTTTGGCATAGTTAAAATTTTCAAAATTATTTAAGAAACTCAATCATTGTTAAATTATGAGCATTAAAAAATATTGCTCCTTTCTCATATGCGACAATTGTTTTAGAACATATGTACGTCTAACAGCAATCACTTATGATAATATGTTTTGTTCAATTTTAGATTTGCTGATTAATAATCTCCAAAATGGTAATAATATCTTTAGGAAAATGTAAGAAAAGAATGATTTATTTTCTATCAATCATTTTCATCCATATGGTAACAATGTTTCAGACATTATTTTTGTAACCGGGAAGAATCCATCACCGAACCATAAACTAGTATTAATATTTGTTTTAATTTGCTAATTAAAGCGTCAATAGTGACCAACGAAGAGTTAATAGTAAAAATATGTGAGTTAATAGTAAAATATGTAGATGACGAACCCTATCATAAATCCAAAAGAAAATTATGCACCACTCAAAATATATCATTGTACCACCCAGGCACCCACTCATTGGTTATTAGTGTTTATTTAAACAAGTGTGATTTATATAACCTAATCTTTTACTTAACTTAAACCTTTTAAAACATATACATAACTTCCACGTAAATATACGTACGTATGTTTCATTCTTTCAAGAAAGTGAGAACATTACCCTAAACGAAATGTTATATCAAAAAAACAAAAACGAAATGAAAAGTTGAGATATAAATGTGTTACACCTACATATTGAGATTAATATATGTATAATGTAAATTTTGTAATGATATATAATTTATATATTGACACGCAAGTATTAAGAATTTAAGATTCCTTTGGTGGAAAATTAAAGAGAAAGGTGAATTTGCAGAGCTTAATTTAGGGCTCGAAAGTGACACGCAAATTGTATTATTGCAGAAGAGAGAGAGAGAGAGAGAGAGAGAGTAGATGTTGACGTTATTGGTGCATCTCCTCATTTATTTGCCCTAGCTAGTTTCCATCTTCTCTTTGACTCTTTCTTAAGTAAAATTTTGTTTTTATTTTCCTTCGTTAATCACACCAAACTCTAAAATTCAAAACCCTTTTATATATTACTAAGTTACCAAATATAAGTCACTCAAGTTATTGTTACATAAATGTTTAGACTACGCTGTTTAGGAAGTCAAATGGCTCTTTCACGACAGCCTAAACATTAATCAAAAAGGTTAAGAAAATTCAGCAATCTTTAGACAGATTATTTTTGCTAATAATACTATAGGGCCATAGATAGATTCCATCCACAATACTATATGGCCTAATATAATTAAAACTTTTGTATATCGTTTCAAAAATATTTTATTAATAGAAGATTTAGATTTTTAGTAAATCAAATGTTTGATTGGTAACTCCTCTCCTCTCTATATAATTCATAAATTTATATCGGTCATTATATCAACTCTTAATTAAAATTAGAAAATATAATGCTTCGAAAAATTTCCAATACCACCAAATAAATGTGATTTTTAGTTAGGTTGAATTTAATTACATCTTTGTTCACGATCATTAAAAAAAGATTGCTCTTCTTGTAATATGCTCAGACAACTTGGCTGTATTAATGACGAGTTAGAAAAGATGTAGAAGTTGTGCTCGAACTTATTTTGGAAACACGTTTTCATAAAGTTAACACCACCGGTCTGGCCTAAACATAGCAACCCAATAATACATAGAACAATTACTTTTTCTTTCTAAACAAAAAAAAAAACTAAAAAGAAACTTATTCCTTTTCATTTATGTTTGTGTAACAGGTTCATAAACTTAAATCTTTTGGCACAAAAAATAAAATAAAAGAGATCATTTAATCGAGGCAAATGAGTTTCTGTTTGTGAATATAATTGATAGAAAAAATAAAATACTTAATAACAAAAAATGCAAAAGCTACTACTGAATTGTTACAACCTTCATGTTCACGAGGATCTTGTTTGTTTTTGTGGAACCAACACATCAAAATCACTCACTGTCTACTCTTCTATTTCTTGTCTCTCGCTAACATATATTTCTGTACCAACGTTGATCGATGTCCACACTCGCTTTGCTGTCCACAAAGACATATTAGTTTAATGCTAAGTCGTCTAAGTCTTAATATATGTGCACATAATCTATATTACCTGGTAGAAGTAGAGACAACTAGAGAGAGCTCCAACATCGTCGAGCTCCCAAGTTCTTGAATCCCTAATCCAACCATCTCCTTGATTCTCAAGATATCCGTGGACCGACCATTCTCGATGAGGCAGAATTTGGATCAACTCTTGTGCTTGAGGATTGCTAATTGATCTCATATATCGAATGGTATCTCTAACTCTTCAGCGTTCCCAGGGCTGCAATGTAGATGGTAAGCAGAATATGGGAACCGGGATGTCTCATTCATATGTACGATCTCACCCAAGGCACTTGTATGATATGGAGGACATGACACTAAATTATCTAGACGACACCAGCTTGTTGTCGCCGGGTTAATTATCACCTCGCTGTTCTAGTTACATCAGTCAAAACATCTCCATCACATGGATAACCATAATTCTTCCAGCAGCTTCCGATATCGATCAAATAAAATTGGCTGTTAAGTACTAGCTCCACCGAGTTTAACATCAAGTGTTAGCTTTACTTTGAAGTTTGGAGACATACAAAAGAAAACCAAAGACATCTTATAGTCAGACCGAGAAAATCAAGAAAATCAAGAAAGCTTTTCAATATGAAAGATCGATAGAACGCTACTAATCACAAACCTTTCTCATCATGCCACGGCCATTATAGTGATAACCACCATTAAAACCTTGCTTCAAACTTTAAAAGACTATTTATAAGCCAAGTATCAGTAACTTCTTCTACACGCAACTCGAATGGGTATGAACACATTGATACTCATCATTCATGATCTCATTTCGAAGAGAATTGCAAAATCAAATGCTGAAATCAACGAATGATCGGCGAGTAATACCTGCGAGGATCGGGCAAGAGAGATCGGCGCAATCAGCGAGTCTAGGGCTTCTCATTGAAGTTGCTTCGTCACCAACTTCATTACAGAAATTCCAAGCTTCTAATTACGAATTTACGATTCTTCATCCCTCTGTCTCCTAAAGCCCACGAAGAAGCGCGTGAAGATGAAGAAGTGGAATAGGCGCGTGAGAGTGGAGAATTTCGCGCGTGATTTATGGCGGTAAAAAGGTAAGATGTCACAATCTGGAAAATCTGAATGATTGCTTTTTTCTGCTTTTGTAAGAATCTCATTTACTTCGTATAGTATTTATAATTACATCCCTATACTTTTTATAAACTAACAAAAAGATCCAAGAGTTTTAATTTGTTACACAAAAACCCTTTACTTTTTTACCCCAGAGATATTCCAAAAAGAAACGTCCTTTTCAAAAACAGAGGACCCTCTGTTTCGTTAAGTGAGTCTTGGGGACCATGTGTTCTTCTTTCCAGATGAAGACGAAGCCTTTTTTAGTCGAAGAAGACAATGTCATCTTTGTGGTCGAACATCGGAACATGGTCTCTTCTTTTCTAAATCTTTCTAATTTCCTCTTAAATTTTCTGGGTCCATGGCAAGTTTGCACCTTGGAGCTGCTTCGTTGATCAATGAGGTCGTTTTTGGCTCTTCCTTGATCGGTTTCAGAAGTAAACGTTTTAGAAGAGTTTCAGAGGTTAGATTACAAGCAAAGATATCAATTCCTTGTTGAGTTTTTTTAGTTTAATTGTTGTTTGGTGTTGTAGAGATGGAGGATTTGTGTTCAACAAATGTCAGAGAAGGAACAGAGAACTAAACACGAACTGGCTCGTTCTGCTAAAAGGTGATGACTTTACTTTCTATATGTAATTGTGTTAAGTGAAAAAGTTTTGAACTTCATCACTTATTAGTGAGTCGTGACATTGAATTGCTAGATTATTGTGTAGTTGATTTGAGCTAGTTATGATAAGATTTGTGTGGTTCTGGTGATTGATTTTTTTATTTAGTGGTTGTGGGAACAATCAAAGTTTCTTCAGAAGCAGGAATGTTTTGATAGTTTTGGTAATGTTTCATAGAAATAGTTTCTCTAATGTTGCAGAAGTCATGGAGAGACTCCAACTCCAGTTTCCAAGCTTATCTCGATGATTGACAAGAGCGTTCGCAATAGACTTAGCACATTGGCATCGTCAAGCTCCTCCGAGTACGAAGGCGGCCTACGATTCTGGTTTCAAACCCATAGTCTCTAGTCCGTTCCTCTACTTTTAATTCTTTTAATTCTTTCAAAACATTTCTATTCACATTCGATTTACACGACGCATTTATTGTAAAACAGTTTTTTTTGGTGAATAAATTTTACATTCATACAAAAAAAAAAAAAAAAAAAATGTTGCAGAAGTGAGTCCTTGAGACGTATTTTAAAGCAATATGGAGTATCAGTAGAAACCCCTGAAGAAAATAAGACTAGTAGTAGACTTGATGATCTAGATTGTGAAGAGAAGCAGGACACTGTTCTTTCTTCTGTTATAGATGACTCTAAGATGGTATATCTCAAAAGCTTGTCCTTGAATAGTATTTACTATTATCTGAATTTCGGAGATCCTGACTTTCATTAGTCTTTGGAAAATTGATGAGTACTGACAGAACACAACTGAGGAGTTACCTGATTTACGTCGGCAAGAGAACTACAGTGAGACTGTTAGCATCTCAGAGAACCTTTCAGGACAAAACCAACATAATTTGCCACATGTAAGAACATTTCTCTTCTGCTACTCACTCCCTTTTCGAGCCATTAGGAGTGCCAAAACTTTGAGTTTTGCTTTCATTCTTCTCTTGTTGGATTCATATTCCTTATTGTGTTTGGATACAGTGTTTACTCGAAACACTTTCGTCAAATTCTTTTTGGATCTTGGTTTCAAACTTAGCATTGCGTAGTCTTAGTGTGTTTTCCAGCCTGTAATCATATCTCTCTTCAGTTAAACACAGGTGTTTTGTTCACTTCTCTGCTTCCTGTTCTTGGTTTCTGCATCGTATGCATAATTGGGACGCTACACACAATTATCTCAAGAAAATCATTACAAGATCATCACCATGGCTCCAAAAGAACAAGGTGGAGAACCGCATTGATTGATTGGAACGAGCCGTTTGCTTCTGATGAACATGATTCATCGCCAGATTACAAAGTCAGTTACATACATAAGTTTTGAGTAATATTTGTTTACATATTTTTGCTTCAGTTGTTAAAGAAGCTAACTGCATGCAGGTCGCTTCAACGAATCAGGAAGCTACCGATGAAAAGAATGAAGCATATAACCGAGTAGAGCTCGAGTACAAGAGATTTCTGTTGGAATGTGGAGTGAGTGAATCTTAGATTCTCGTCTCCTGGAGGTTCCTACAACTAAGTTCTTGAGAAAACATCGCTACTTCTGAGGCTTTAAGGACTTTTCGCTTGGTGGTTTGCACATACTGTGACACCAATGCATGCATTTACAAGATAAGACTTTATAACTTGTGAATATAAAGGGTCTAATGCGATTTGATTTGGATACATCACAATCACATTGTATGGAGCAGATTGGGATTATTAGTAAAAGCTTGATTGATAATGAAATGAATATAAAGTATTGGCTCTACGAAAGTAACAATTGAAAAGAATTACAAACAGAGAACCAAAACCCGTACGCAGCAGAGTTTCTCAATGCAAAGGGGTAAAATATCCATTCAATAGAAACAATTCTGGAAACTCTGCAATTTTGGGAGAGGCTCAATTAAAGCCGTACATGTCAACATTTTTGTCTTCAGGTGGTCTTGTGTTGTTGCCACCTTCAGGCACTCTAAAGCTGTCCATTGGAGGAGGACCTGCGGGGGCTGGTGCTGCTGGTGGCACCCAATGTGGTGTGGTCGGAACAGAGAAGTTAGATCCAGAAGCCTCTTGATGTAAGACAACAACGTTAGGATTTGCTTGTGGTGAGTTTCCTGTGGTTCTTCGGTTTGAAGAATTTGCAGAGGCTAGAGACGATGGATATGATTGTTGTTGCTGATTCTTCATTGGTGATTTGGGCCGAAGCGATTCTATATCAGGAGTAGTCACAACGAGATGCGGTGCGTCTGGAGGTGGATTTCTTCCTCCTCCCCCTAGCCACACTTTACCCTCCTTGTCTGCGAAGTTCCTCACATAAGCCTAAAGCACACACAATATCCAAAACAGATCAAACAGTCAAAGGAGCTACTTGCATAGGTCTAAAGCTCATGTAAACAGGAGGTGGATAGATGTCTGCAGAGTGAACATGAGATCTTACCTGCGACTCAAAGTTTGAGGAAGAAAGGCCTTTTCCAACAGTAAGCCAGCCAGCTCGAATATTGTGGTCTTCACCAAAAAGCTCAAGCCTCCGGCGACCAAGTGCAAAATGCTCTATTATCCTATACATATCTTCAGGCTTCTGAGTCGAACCTGCAGTTTTTGAACATAAAGAAATGCAATTACACAAATCAGCTTGCAATAATAAGAGGGATACAAATTCACTAAAATTTAGACATGGCAATGTTGATCAACCTCAGAATCTTATATATTTCTTAATGAACCAGCTTACAGTGAGGATAATCCAAGACTAATCCAGTAAACTAATTCACATGTACCATAACTGAGAACCAAAAGAAACTTAGGGCTGGGTTTTCGAGAACCCAAAAACTTGCCTCCCAACACTAGTACCAATACCAAAACCCTCGACACCTTAATCACATAAAGCAACGATCCTATTTATACACAATTAATTGCTGATGTGCCATAATTGATGAACTCCTATCATGCCTACTTTAAAAGAAACAGGAAGCTGGAAGCAGAACAGAGAGAAGGAACAAGATATGACACGTAAGATACTCTTGATTTTATCACTCAATCAGGAACACACATTTTACTAACCATAAGGAGGCTCTTCAGCAATAATTACGTCAGTGTCGATGTTAGCATGGATTATATGCCCATCAGTGCTACGTCGAACAGTACCCTTTATCCCCATCAAGCAATGCTCCTATAAAACGAATACCAGTAAAAACGATTAAGCAAAAGATATACAACACAGGAATCAAACGAGGAGGCAATGGCAGACCATAATGGACCTTGGAACGCTGAAACACAGTACGAGAATCATGTCGCAATGTTGGTGCTGCATTACTTTTGTTGGTCTTCACCCAGCAAATGTCCTCACACCTTCTGAAACCCCACTGTGACACCCAAACAAATATAGATGAAGTGAATACTGTCAAGACAAACAAATCCTAAACATAAGAGAAAATAAGAAATCATTTGAACCGAATACCTTTTTCAGGCATTGGCGCCCTTGTTCAAGCCCAACACCATCACCAACCCAGAGGAAGATAAAGGAGGGAGTGTCAGCTATTGCCTACAGATACATGGAAAATTCCGTTTTTGTTTTAAACAGCAATAACAAAGATGGCAACCAACCTTACACACAATGTCCACACACAAGTCAAAATACTATATGTTCGGTAATCAGTACCACTATTTTGCCTAGCTATTATTCAGATAACAAATGATATCTGAAACCCCACATCAGATCTAGTGCTAAGCCGAGCGTAACATCAGATCAAAAAATATAACCCAAGAGAGGATGTGTGTACCCTAAAATCCTATGAGCAATTGAAGAGTGTAGAGAATAGTCACCTCAATCTTGAGATTGATAATGTCCTCAAATGTCCAATACTCCATACTATCAGAGACACCAGGAGCTCTATGGACATATTCCTCCCAAGGTGGGTCAACAAGAATAACATCAAACTTTGTTCCAAATAACTCGGGAGATAACTCAACTTCATGCAAGTCGCCTTTCAGATACATTGGTGCAGAAGCAGAATTAGATACAATCTCATCCTTCTTCTGTATGAGCTCTCTAAGCTTGGGGTAGTCTTCCACATTGGTAAGCTCCAGCTCTCGAATGAAATTCTGGGGCCGCATTCCAGTATCCACAAAGTTTTGGGAATAGTCATTTTGCTCTCCCCTAGAAGGAGCTTTACCAGGAGGTCCACCACCTCGAGGAGGAACCCAACCCCCTGAATTCTTATCAGATGGCATTCCACGTCCCATTTGTCCAGAAACATTGAACGCAGACCCAGAGAAGTTAGGAGGCCCTCCTCTATCAGAACCTGGTGGAGTAAAGAACATATTCGGGTTTGGCGGTGTGCCAATTGAAGGAAATCTTGGGCCTGATGGTCCGGGAGGAAGAGGTGAGAGAACAGGAGGAACAGGTAACATAGTACCATCAACTCCTCGGGCCCCAGGCCATACAAGAGTTGGGGCAAATGGAGGCATGAAGACAGGGGTGACAGAAGTGCCCGGAATTGGCGACATGCCAGGAGTAAGAGAATGAATGGGACTGGGTGGTGGCATTCCAAGGTTTGCAAATGGTGACCCCATGATAGGCATTGGAATGGCACCTTGTTGGTTCTCTCTGCCACCAGCAGGTCTTCCTTTCCCACCCCTTAAGGGTCTGTTCCCTCTAATGCCTTGTGGAGTCTGAGAACCTCGATTAGGGGTTTGCATAAAATTAGTTCGACCAGGTGTTGAACCTCTCTGGTTTCTTGCTTTAGCCCCTGTGTAATCAGAACTGGCTTCACCAGCTTCATCTCTCGAATCCTCCCCATAAGACCCAAAACCAAAAGTTTCACTTCTCTGTCTACCTTCCTGGTTGTGAGCCCACTCTTCGTCATTATTACTAGGCCTTTTAGGAGGTTGCTGACCAGATTCAGTCATACGAGCAAAGTTGGGTCCTGATTCCCCTCTGCCATAATCAAGTGGCTTGGTTTGTATCTCAATTACATCATAATTCTCATTTGAAACGCCACCACTTGACAAAGCTTTAACAGCCTCACCCCTGTTTCCATCTTTCCTACCACCCAAACGACCATGAGACCTCTCGCCTTCACTCCTCTCACGTCCTTGCCTCGGAAACTCCCGTTCCCTTCCACGATCATAAAGCAAGTCCCCATCTTTCTGATCTTTATCACTACCACTATTATGTCTCCTCTTCCAATTATCCTTCAAACCTTCTTGATCCCTATCCCTATCACCCCAACCATCATCCCTACCTCTAGACCTCTCATCTTTTCGACCATACTTCTCCTTCTCATACTCCGCATCCGACTGCTCAGATTCTTGATAACGCTTACCACTTCTATCCGGTGTTTTCGACCTATTAGATCGACCCACTTCTCTAACAACCTCAGTTTTCTTCAAAGGACTACCTCTATCATCATCTTTCACACCACGACTCTTACTCTTCTCCTCTCTACTACTAGACTTCAAACTCCTATCAAACTTCGAATCTCTCCTACTCTCACCATGTTCATTACTATCATGTCTAGAATCAGAAAGCTTACTACTTTTATAATCACCATCATTACCAGAACCAGCTGCTTCATCCCATCTCTTCCTCTTACTCGAATCAGAAGAAGATCCATGAGTTCGTTCTCTCTTATTGGAATCACGATCTTGATGCTCAACATCAACAAGAGACTTACTTTCTTCTTTGCTTTTACTTCCACCACTTCGAGAAGAACTCTCAAAGTCTGAACCTTTAAGACTCAATCTTCTCTTCTCACTTCTTTCTCCACCTTCTTGTTCTCCATCTTGATACCAAGTACTTAGCTTCTCCAACGAACTCTCTTCTTGTTTCTTCTTCATTTGATTTTTTTTTTTTTGCGATACAAAACCCTAAACCCACGAAATTAGGGTTTCAACATTACCACGATCAATTCGACGAAATGGGTTCGAGATTAAAGATGAAAATTTGAGTTTAGAAATGAAATTAAGCGAAGAAGATCGGAAAATGTTGGGTCGGAAAGATGAGTGAGTTTGTGAGAGAGAGAGAGAGAGAGAGAACACGGCGGAGTGTGAGGAACACGAACGGCATACACAAAGTCAGAATGGATTGGGCCAAGCCCATTTACTCCAATTCACCTAGTGTCTAAAAATTGGGTTACAAAAAATAAACAAAATTATTTATCAAATTGTTAGTTTCTGCTGGATTTCCGATTGAAAAAATACAGAAAACCATATATTATATTTTTTAGGGTAATCAAATTCATTAATATGAAAACGAGAATACAAAGTCGTTGCAGAAACTAGGAAAAATGGGTACAAAAACCCTCAGCTTTCTTAAAAACATGTAAAAAATCCTTAATTTTTTTGTGGGTTTTTAAACCCTCACTTTTTCATAAGTGGTAAAATAAACCCTAATATTAATAAACTCAATTAAATTTTTTTTAAATTGTTATATTAAAACAGTAGGAAACAAAAAATATTAATTTTATATTTTTTTCAAATTCGAGTTTACGATTTTTCTTTCTTAAATTAAAGTTTTTTTTGCTATGAAAATTCATTCACCGTTTAGTTGAGATTAGGCAAATCATTTTGGTACCATTAGAATTATGTTATATAAACTACAAAAATTTATAGGATAGCACATTTGATTTTTTTTTGTTCGAGTGTTCAGGTTTTAGATAAAAAAAATATAGTTAAATAATGATTAACTAAATGTAATTTATATTATATTTTACTATATCGTAATATGTATATAGAAATATTAACTGTTAGTAAATCTTATTTAGATTGTCCGATGAAAATATTTGATGTGGAAATTCATGTACTTTTCGTAGTATTATAAAATTTGGTTTGGTTTCACGTTAGCAAATTTGTATGATCGAACCGAATAAACTTTTATTAACATAAACTCATATTCGGTTCAATATAAGAATTTATATATTTTCGTAACAAAATCTGTGTGGTTTCACATTTATGAGTTTTTGTAACACAACCGAATACAATTAATTTTTTTACATCATGACTTAAAAAATTTCAATTTAGAAAGAGAATGTAAATTAGAATTTTAGAAGAAAAATCCTAAATCACATTGTTTATATTTATTATGTTTTAATATAAAGATTTGTTTGAATTTAAATTGTGAGTTTATTAATAATACGGTTTATTTTACCATTTATGAAAAGATGAGGGTTTAAAAACCCACAAAAAAAGATGAGGGTTTTTTATATGTTTTTAAAAAAGGTAAGGGTTTTCTACTCATTTTTTCCAGAAACTACGAAAGCAAATTATTACATATGCACATTTATGCGCTATATATAGGTCCGGTTCTGTAATATGCACTGTCCAATACGAAATAAAAAAAATCTGAAGCCTCTATATATAAATAATACTATAAATAATGTCAAAAATAAAAAATTTCCGAAAATTGGGGTTTTTTCGGAAATTGGGACCTCTAACAGGGGCTTTTTCTTATTAAATATTAAAAAAAAAAATAGGCCTCTATTTTTGTATGGTCCCATACACATGTATCATAAAAATGGGTGTAGGGTTGGGCCTAGCTATATACTAAAGATGGTAGAAACTAAAGAAGTGAATTTGATGATACTTTCTTTAAAGTCTTACTCGCTAAAAGATTATTGAAACAGTTGTTATCCTCTTTTGTAATCAATCTTCTTACATTATATGAAAATTATGTGTGGCTATCTTCTCTTTGTAAAAACTCCAATTTGTGCATCGTATCACAAAACCCAATAGTTTCGTTGATAGCTCTGAACAGTTACCAATCATTCCGTATCAGTGTCATTTTAAGATACAGTAATTTTGGTTTTCTCTCGTAATGATCCCACATGAATAATAATCCGTCATGTCGTTGACTCTAAACCTGCCAATACCTGAATCATAATATTAATCCTAACCGAACAGCTCTCATGATCTCATCTAGTTGGGTTGACCAAAGTCTGACTTGAACGTTAGAAAATTCTCTTGAGAACAAACCCATATATATATGTGTTCCTGGATGCTATCATGACCGTATTAAAATAATGTGACAAGACAACACTTCATAGAAGAAACTCGAAGGGGCACCCATATTTTTCACAAGACATCAAAATGAGTTTGGCTTGGTTTGTTCTTTAGCGACCAAAACGTCTACTCTATGCTTGCCGATCTTATGTTTTTCCATGACATACAAATTCAACTACATATATGGAAGACTCAACAATTTTGGGCGTTTTGGCCACTATAACAAAACCAATATATTTTGTGAAAAAACCACAAAACAAATTGATAATATTATCAACCTTAAACATTGGTTTGGCCCGATTAGTCCAAAGGTCGGCTCTGGTCTAGGTCATCGAACCTTATTCTAAAATTTGAACAATTCTAGTTTCCACCAATAGTAAACCACAACACCTAAAATTTAACTGTTACCATAGTTAATTATGAAGTCAAACTTTATTCTCATCCACAACTCACACATACAAATTACCATATTTGAATTTATATAGTAATTTTATAACCATTAGACCAGAAGATCCAACAAATATTTTATTACTTTATTATAATAGTAACATAATTAAGTTCTATTATGGGAACCTCCTGTAATATTCCAACCGGCCCACGTATTGGTTAAATAAAACTATTAAGGAGGTCGTCTATCTGGGCCGCATACGCTACAAACACACTTCTTAGCATCTGTATATGGGAAGCACCCACCAACCGTATATTTTCCTGGCCATTTTTGCTTACACATACGATCAAAATCTTCGTTAACACATTTTCCAGGTTTTTTAGGTAAAAACCTTGAACATGTAGTTAATTAGTTTTTCTGGCACAACTCCTGTTATTTTTATATATGAAACATAAATCTCAGTTTTCGTAATGAGAATTGTAAAAAATTAGCATTTATCTGTTGCGTGTAAGTAAATGTTTAGAAATAACAAATATTTTCTTAAAAAATTCGTTTATTGTAATTAACAAAACACAAAACCACAACATTGTACGTAATTTTTTTTTTTTTTTCGGCAAAAACAGAATTTCATTGATTTAAAAGAGTTATTACAAAGACATTAACAGAATTACTAGAACACAATTATTACATACGCAGATGTATGTGCCATACATTAAGAAAAATACAGCATAAGGGAGATTGACGATGCTTTCCGAAGAGTAGTCTTACTCGCTAACCGACCATAAGATCCGTTATTGTCCAACTTCATATTTGATTTTTCTTGGTTACGATTGGCATGCAGCAACTTGTGGCTGAACTTTCTTTTTGCAAACCGTAGCTTTACACCCGATGTATCCATAAATAACTCTGAAATGTAGACACGGTGGTACCAAAGCTTCCGTACCAAAGTCTTTCTTAAAAAACTCGACTTTGTAATTTTCTTTAACATAATCACAAATAAGTTTACTGTAGTCAAAATAGGTTCGACTATAGCATCTTTTGAAAAGATTGCCTTACCAGATTCCAAAAAATCCCTAACTCTTACCCGAGAGAAACATAGGCCTTGACACAACAACATGTCCATGATCACTTCTGTTGAAGAAACAACAAGAGATGCGTTTGATCCCACGACACAATCAACGTCATCATCAATGAGGCTGGATTTTACACAAATTTTAAATCCAAACAAACCATTGGTGTTCCTTGAAGGATTAAAATTGTTGAAAATTAACAATTGAAGTGGTGGGCTTGACCAATATTGATGAAGCCCATTGCCATTTGAAAAGAGCAAAAAGACAAAGCCATCATCTTCTTCTCCACCAAGCATCGGAGCAAGAGAGCGTTCATGTAGTCGTGTGAAATTTAGTCTTGTACGCGCCGCCGTCTTCCTTCTCGTCACTCTCTGGCCATGAATCTCCACAAAGATATTTTTGTTGATAAAATCTGACTTATGTCTTCTAATGGATATGAAATCATTTCGTATCCGTCCATTAACACAATTGCCCATACCCATCTTGTGCATATATTCCACTGTTTGTCTCGCTGATGCATTCCATAACCACAAAATCCAACCAATATTAATCAAATCATGTCGCCAAAACTTGACTATGTCTATAATGGACTTTAGTATCTGAATCAATTTATGATCCAATTGATGCATCCGTAGTTTCATCACACAAACAGTGGAGTCACAATCGATTACTCCAGGATCCCATGTCCGAAATTGATTCCCAATTCCTGAATTGGAGAGATTCATATGAGAAACCCAGATTATATCATAACGGAACAGAGACGTTCCGGTGAAGAAACGATGGACACCGTTCGAAGACGGAAAGAAGCCGACACCATAACACTTGAGTTGAGGCCATGATAGGGTCGGAGATACGCTCTCACGGACGGAGAGAAAAGAGGCGCGACTTTGAAGAGTAACTTGGTCGCAATGGGCACGATCCGAGACACCATCTATTCCCGAAACCACATCTCCCACACATGGCGATGAAATCTGGATATTATCAGACGATACCCAAGTCAAGATTGGAGACAGATTTGAGATTGACGGCCTCAGATTTTGTAACAACATTGTGAGAAGGCAAAGAGCATGGATTTTGAAATCTCGATTTGCCATATATTATTATCTAGATCTATGCAGAAAGAACAAAACAAAGGAAGTAAAGGATAAAAGAGAGGAAAGGCCGACCGACGCCGGAGAAGCCGACGCCGGCCGGAGACAATGAGAATTGAAAAGTCGCTTTGAAGTCGATTGGGAGAGAAAAAAAAACTGCGCCGTTCGTAATTAAAAACATTGTACGTAATTAAAAACAATTATACCGACGTAACTTTTAAACATGTATTTAGTTGTCCTTGCACAACTCATGTTATATGGTTTACCAAACAAAAATAAATGTTTTGAAATAACAAATATTTTTTAACAGAATTCATTGATTATTTTTGACAAAACCACAATATTGTAACTAAAGAGAATTATATTGAGGTGATTTTAAACTATCATATAAATTTATAAACGAAAAACTGTAGCTTAACACACTAATCCGTATGGGAACGAAACTAAAAAAAAAAATATATATATATATATATATATATATATATATATATATTTTTGGTGGAAAAAAGCAAGAAAAAGAATTTAAATCACTACAATCAATTTATATCACAATAATTCTTAGTAATATATTTAGCTCATAGTTATTTCAAATATATAAGAAATTCTATTAAAAACACACACATATTTGAGGGTCGGTTTCCTAAGTCTAATTGTAGCTCAATTTTCTAGGTCTATTATGAAGTTTATATATAAAAAAGAGCTAAACACAATACTATGGAATTCATCAAAGGTGAAAATAACTATGATACAAAGCCTATATAGCATAGTTGAATTGATAGCTTGAAGAAATAATATGGTATTCAAGTTTACCACTCTTAGAACGACTATATGTAATATATTAAAATGATTCTAAATGAATTTACATACCTGTTAGAAGAATGGTGAAGATAGTTAAAACAGTAAATGTGAATAGAAATCATTTCTTCATCTTAGAAATAAATAGATTGTATTTTAAGAGTAGATAAATAAACCGAAAGAAAAAAGTGTTCGTAAATATAAGAACCGCATGTATCCCATATTCTATTGTAAGATATATACCTCCCTAAATTCAGATTTAGAGGAATGTGGTCTTACACAATTTCAGGTTTTTTTTGCTCATTTCCTATGTTAGACAGTTAAAGCATTAAGACTCGCTCATCTTTCTATATATAGGGTTAGGTTTTCTCACTTCTAGCTCCTTCTGCCACCTCGCTAGACGTTAGTCGGGCGCTCAAGCTGGGCCTAGCGCCTAGCCGGAAATTAAACGGAGATTAATTGGGGATTGATTTTTTTATATTTTTTACTTATATATTGTATTTATATTATTCTTGCAGAAAAAATCAATAATGCAAGATGGTCCAATGGTTAAAAGCATGTTTCCTCACTTCCGGGTGGCAAGATCTAGTAATCCTAGTTACATTTATGCCTATTTTGTTCATTTTAAGCTTAATTGATAGTAAATGACCAAAATACCTTTGTCTTCTATCTCTCAAAAACGAGATCTATAACTCTAAATTCGCCGTCACTTAATTTTTTCTTCACTTTTCATCATTTTTTTTTCTATTATTTATTGTTAGATATGCTAGATCCATCAAGTATCTATGAATTTTAACGTTTAAAATAACAAAAAACCAAGTTTTTTCAAAAGTTCCGATTTTTGAGCCGATTTTACCATAATCCCGGCGGTCTTTTGCCTCCGAGGGACTAGCCGCCGCGAAATCGGCTGCCTTGGCCGCGTTTTTGAACAGGGGTTTTACTTATATAACTAAAAAGGTATTATACACGAGTATATAAGAAAAGGGTATAATTAACATTATATAGTGTAGTAAATACAAGAATATATCACAAGTAACATTTTCTACAAAAATATATTATTGTATAGTAATTTTATATGAGTTACTACTTTTGTATTCTCTCGGATAAAAAAAACATTATCTTTTGATCTAGTTTTATATCCTCTAGATTAACAATATAAGAATTTCCACAACACATTTATCTACGCGAGTCTCTACCATTTAAAATTTTGTCAAGGTAATATTTACTTTGAGATATGATTAATAATCGGAAAAATGAATCATATTTTTATTTTCATTGCCATCATTTCTTTGGTAAGCTAAAAATAAATATCTCAGCCTAAAGGGGTGTTATTCAATCATATAGTTAAAGTCAATTATTTTTAGAAAAAAGATATTGCATATCCTTGGATATTCTTAAAATAAAAATATGGTAAAAACTCCATGAGACACTATTCTTAAAAATAAGAATATATCTCTCATATGAGAAAGGACAAGACACATATCATTTAGATAATGAACAAAGCTTTAAACAAGTTTAATTTTTTTTTTAAAAAGGTTTTTTTCCAGGAACAAGTTTCTTGATGCTTAAAGGCATAATAATCATGATTATTGACGATTTTTGTTTTCCAAAATCTTTAAAAAACTCCTTTAAGTTTATAAAACATTTTTCTAAGTAATTATCACATTAGAACTATGAATGAATAATGTGGTACTGAATCATATGTATTAAAAATATCTCTCTCTTTTCTTCTGGATTGTATCATACGAACATAAAAATGGCAGAAGTATATTTGAATACAAATTTGATAGACAAAACTAGACCAACATCAAGTCCTTTGCAAAGTTTTCTTGTTATTGTTCTTTGCACTTTCTCTCATTGGACAATATCAAAAGCGGCGACTAATATCCGCGGGACAAAACGGTGTACCGAGGCTATTCCGATGGCTAGGGATGGTAAAATGCCTAAGCCTCCCTTGCTGCTCCTTAATGTACCCTCGACACAAGAACGCCACCGAGAACTCATCCTCCACAGGCCGGTTAATATCGTGAACGAAAACATCAGTCTCGCCACCGTCATAACGGTTACGAGCCAATAAACCCGCCGTGTAAATAGCACTCATCCTCCCTGGAGCTTCGTCGTGGTAACCAGTGGGAGCATCGACCATTATCACATCCCATTGCGTCTCATACACGTCAGCGGGAAAACCCTTCAAAGATAGAGCACATTTCGAATCTCTCGGATCAGACACGGCTTTGCAGTCCTCTGTTCTCTCTAGCTCCATAAGCTTGTTGGAATCTTTCACTTTCGTGTCGTATACGACGTGGTATGATTCTAAGTTTGGGAATTTCTTAGTCACTGTCTCGATCCAAGCTTTATCTTCCTCCAGGAACACTAGCAATGTAAGAAGTAACTTTATTATAACAAAAAAAAAGAAACAGTGAGATTTGATTAATCTTTAAAGATCTGTTGTTATGAGAAACTTACAAGTGCGTCCACCATGATTGAGAGATGCCCACATCAAGCTGTCGTGTCCTAAGCCGAAGACGAGGAAGTTACAAGGAGATTTCTTGTCCAAGACTCTCTTTGAGACTGAGATTTCATCAAACGTTTGTTGTGGTGTGATCTCTGTGGTGACATAGTGAACCAATGCGTCCGATAGAGAAATCGGCATTTTGGTGCATTGTTGTGAGGTAGATGGGCATTTAGGTTTCTGGTGATATTCGTCTCGTATGGTTGATGTTGAAGAGGAAGAGAAGCTTGCTCTTTTCAAGAAGAGAATGAACAAGACCAAGATTGAGCAACAAATGAATATAAGCTTTGAGCTGATCAATGATTGGGTTTTATTCCTCATGTTTTTCCTTTCTCTCTCAGCTTTGACGTTTTGAATAGGTTTTTGATTAGCGATTGGTTTTAAAGTATCGAAAGAGAGAGACGTGTTGACAAATGGTGAAAATGTGAATATCTAATAAGAGATAGTCCTGTAGGTGATTGAGAAGTTGAGGATGACATGACGGCTACTAAGGTTGCTGTTGAACCAGAAGTTGGTGGATCTGTTGTTGTATATTATTATAGTGTTTGTACAATGATTGGAAAGATGTGAAACGTAGTGGGGAGGCTTTTGTTACCAAACTGATGCTTGAAAGACAAGAATCTGACCCGGGTGGTGAACCGGAATACCTTCTGGGTCACTGGGTCAACAGGTTCACTACCCGGGTCGGGTTTGCCGAGTTTTGAATGTCCCGGTTTTCAGTAATTACCCGGACCTGAAGACCAGCCAGTTTGACTGGCTAGCCCGGTCCGGGTTTAAAACATTGAAAAACAAGACGTGCTATGTCTTGAGTCTTGATATACAATATACAGTATAACACTATTATATATACATCAAAAGTTTTTAAGTTACTTAAAATAAGAATAAGAAAAGGACCTCTCTGTAACTATGCATCCTGGTCCTGCATTGTCATATGTAATAAGTTAAGTCTGATTTAGAAAACTTCCATACATTTTAGATGTAACTTTGTCTATCTAAAGATCCACAAACATGCCAGTAATTTTCTATTAACTTGAGATACCGACCGACTCATCATATATTCAAAAGTTCGGATTTTGACCATGTACTCCCATGTCAAACAGTTTCTCAGTATTTGTTAAAACATGTGGATTGTCAAAAGCTTGTACCTTGGGATATAGGTTCTATGGACTATGCAGATGCTGCAGAAGAATATGTCTTGAAGAGGTAAGCCAGAATCTTCTGGTAATCACCTAATTGGACACCAGTGTTTGGATCAACCAAGAATGGAACCTGTAAATTGTGTTGAGCAACAAGAGTTTCAGCCGTTTTTTCGATGATCGGTAAAGAGTATAGACTCTGGTATAGCCAGAGAGCGGACAAAAAATAGACCTTATTGGATCCTGAAGCATTGAGAAGCGATTTCATCCGTGTGGACCCTTCACCAATGTTGTGTAATACATAGGGGAGCTCCAGCTCACACAGTGCTTCACGCACCAACCGTGAATACTGGCAAGGGAAAAAGAGGACTCATAACCCTTGGCACCAAAGTTTTCTCCAGAATACGCAAGATGATATGAGCTTAAAAGTGAATTATTTACTCCATGATAATGATGCATAGAAATAAATTCTTGATGAGGAGGTCACATGATAGCATAGGATTCAAGCTTCTAAATTATGAAGAAATCCTCTTTACCAAGAACCCTAAGTATCTAGGAGATTTATAGTAGAGACCTCTTAAATCTTAACTTTCCCAAAGCCAGAAGGATCTCAAACAACTAACTGGTCAAAGACCCTTCATTTGTTTTCCATCGTACTCATTTATACAATTCTGGTGCCTATCATATCAACAGGAAAAAATGGCGATAATCTAGTAGTGGAAGGGTGGATCTATCTAATGACCAATCACGAAAAGAGTCTTGGATACAAGAAAGGAAAAAGCATAGTACCGGGTTGTTTTCGTAAGAGAAGAGCTCGAGCATTTTAGGTGGCAGATCTGTTGAAGCCTTGTCCCACAATGACATGCCTCTACCTGCTCGGAGAAGAGTTGGCATCCATCCAGTGAACAAGGTGCTGGAAAATTCTAATGAAGTCAGTGATACAATTAAAACTTATTCACGCTAAGAGCTGAAGACTACACAACCCAGATAGTTTGACCAAGTATAACAGATTATACTCACCTTTCCAGAAGTCCTGTGGAAGGGCCTCTTCCATTTCCATATTGTTTAAATAGGTACTTTACGATGTCACCTAAAGAGAAAAGAACCGATGAAAAGATATCCAGAGACGACGACAATAAGCTATTAATGATGGAACTTACGACTCACCACTCTCATACATTAAAGTTTCAGTATTCGGGTCGACGAGGAATGGAAACCTGCAGATTTTTATTCACAGAATTTTAACGACTGACCACTAGAAGGAACACAAAAACTGCTATGGAATGATGAAAACAAAACCAATTAACAGAACAAGAACGTAAAATTACATCTCTTTTCCGCCAGATCTTCTAACCAGTTCTCTGTGTCGTAAAGATCCTTTAGGACAAGGATAAACCTGAACACCAACAAAATATCAAGATAAACTTTGGTTTATTGCTTAATGAGCCATCTCTCGGGAAACAGATGTTTTAGTTCTTACTTCTACAGAAAGGTCTAGCTCAGTCATGGCTTCCCGCACCCTCCGGCAAAAGGGACACGCCTCTGTTATCCAAAAAACCAAGAAACTCTCACAACGTAAAATTGGCTTTCCACTACTCCTCTTTGTTTACATGACACTAACACGAACATACCAAATTCAAAAAGCTGCAATCGCAAAGGCGGATTAGAAGAGACATCTTGGTTATCTATACTCCCTGTTGATACTCGAGATCCCCAAGGAAGTCTTGCAACAGATGCTAATGAAGAAGTTGCAACCTGTATTCATGCAATCCATAAGGAAAGAACACAAAATGCAGAGCTTTTTAGTCACGATAATCAAATGTCGAACTTTATTCGGCTAATGTCGGATCTAATTCAGTGTTGTTCTCGAGTTACCTAATAGACATTGCAGAAACCTTGTTTTGTTCATGAACAGAGTTTTTGACTGAAAAGAAAAACAACTCCATATAAGAAAACATGACTAACTAACCTCCAGAGCATGATTCCGTTGTTGAGAAGGATCACCTCCCTGGAAACAACAACTAACAAGTATCAAACCTATCACTCTCGTTGAGTAATAACAAAAACACACATATGAACAATAAAAACGAGACACACTTGATGAGAACAAAACAGCATAAAGTTTCAAGAAACACTTACAGAGAAAACTTTAAGCAATGGACAGAGAAAGGACAAGAAGCTTGATGTATTGTTACTACTAGATTTCACATAAAGTCTTGTCCTTTCGCGAACCCAAGTATCGTTTCCTGAATTTCTCTTCGAGAATCGATGAGAATGAAACGTGGATGACGGAAACGACGCAATCGGATGGCAGAGATTGCTATTAACCACCGAAATTTGCATTGTTCCTATCAAAAACTGTATGCCACAGAAACTCTAATTCGATACTGAAGAAAGGAGAACGATCGATTCACGAGAAATAATAAAAAATGTGAAGATTACTATGTTATCCTAGCAAAAATCCATAATTTACCCAGAAAACCAATGTTTTATCCACTCACTTAAAACGAAATCGAATCTAACTCTAAATCCAACTCTCTAAATGAAATAATCTAACCCTAAGTACTCGAATTCTCTCAATTCAAAACCGTTTGTTATTTCTTTCATTGTTGTGTTCGTGAAATTAGGGAGAACTATTAGATTGTGAGAAATTGTTGTTGTGTTAGCTCTAAATGACAAAGTGTGGACAACAAAGAAGAGGAAGAAGATAACTCTAAATGAAGAGGTAGCAAATGCTGAATATGGAGAAAGGTATTCGGATCCGAACCCTATCGTTGAGGAAGTGGTAGACGAAGAACGAGAGAGATATATCCGGTTTGATCCGAAGAGAGCGAAGAAGAAGGAGATAGAAGCCAAACAGTGAGTAGTAGCTGAACTTTGAGCGACTCCACTGACGAGAGTGAGAGATCCAACTAGAAACCCGAGGAGAGACCTGAGGAGATGGTAAATAGTTGGGTTCGATTGAATTAGGTAGAACTAGGGATAACTAAATCGTGAACATCGGATTGGTCAATATGAATTTTTGGGTTTTAAGAAATATTGGTATAAATGGATAAAACTAGTGTTCCTTGAGAAATTTCTGAAGAAAATATAACTTGGTAATATTTGGCAAAACTGTTTGTTGTAGGATACCGAAGAGGAAGTGATAGCACTAGAACCTTTGAGAATATACTTCCCGCCGACGGAGTATAACAAGAAAATTAAGTTATCGATGAGGTGTTACATCCATGAAATTTTGACAACTTTAGATGAGTTTAATCATCTGATCCCCGATGTTAAGAGGACTTGATTTGAGAACCATCCGCAATTCAAACACATTTAACAAATGCCAAAGGACAAAAACCACAAGGTTATGGGCATGTGGATGCTCCTTCTTCGAACGACATGCATCAGAAAGAATATGGAAGCTTGGTTTGTCGTAAATGGTTTTCTCACCCGCTATGGTATAAAGGAACACGCCTTGATATCGAGATTAGACTTCCGCAACTATCTACTTGATTATAAGAAAGCAGGTAGTATGAAATTCGTGAAGAAGTATTTTAAGATGAAGGTAATTAGACATGAAGACATGAAGACATGAAACAAAAGCTATTGGAAATAGTACCAATAGAACATTCTAGAGATATGTTGAAGATGGCGGTCTTCTACTTCTTATCCAACATTGTTGTAGTGCTGACAAAGATTGGAGTAGATGCAACTACCGTGGATGAATTCTTTTAAAGTGCAATGAATGCTAGGATATTGATTTGATCACGTGCTAGGATCGATCCCGCACACAATGTATCATTTTGACGGAGCCATCACAGAAGGTGTAATATGGTCGGTTTTCAGGTTTCAGTATTCCTCTGGAAGTAAGTAAAAAGTAAATGAGGTATTGGTCATTGTTATCAGCTAATAATTGAAGCTAACTCTAACTATATGTGTGTTTTGTAGCTTTTAGCATTTGAGACAATTCCACAATTGAGAAATAAATTCCTAGAAGATAATCCAGGCCCAAACGTAAATTGTCCTAGGATGTGCAAGAAAAAATTCAAGAAAAGTGAAATGAGAGGGTTTCCTCTTTCAAAAATAAATGATTAATTTAGTACAACTGAGGTTAGTTATCCTAGTTCTCTAAATCAAATCGGATTGAATCCCTAAATTTGTAGATAGAAAACCAAATTTTAAGCTCTATGGATGGCTTAGGTTGGTTTAATAACGGACCTGAAATTTGTAGCTCGATGCAGCTCAACGGAGGCAAAGAAACGGCAACAATAAAGAGATCCATGGCAGAGGGTAAGTGACCTCAGTTGTATCAAGTTCCGCATTTGAGCTCTCTATTGTTGCCATTTCTTCGTCTCCTTCGAGCTGCATCAATCTACAAATTTCAGGTTCATTCTTAAACCAACCTAAACAATCTAGAGTGATTTAAATTTGGTTTTGGATTTACAAATTTGGGGATTTATTCCGATTTAATTTAAAGAAATAGGATAACTAACTTCAGTTGTACCAATTTCATCCTTTTTTCAAAAGAGGAAACCTTCTCATTTCGCTTTTCTTGAATTTTTTCTAGCACATCCTAGGATAATTTACGTCTGCACCTAAATTATCTTCTAGGAATTTATTTCTGAATTGTGGAATTGCCTCAAATGCTAAGAGCTACAAAACACACATATAGTGAGAGTTAACTTCAATTATTAGAACTAGTAACCATGACCAATACCTCATTTACTTTTTACTTACTTCGAGAGGAATACTGAACCTAGAACCGCACATATTACACCTTCTGTGACGGCTCCGTCAAAATGATACATCGTGTGCGCGATCGATCCTACCATGTGATCAAATGAATATCTACCTCAAAGAAACTTCTTACAAAACTTTAAAACATTCAATGCACTTTGAAAGAATTCATCCACGGTAGTTGCATCTACTCCAGTCTTTGTCGGCGCTACAACAATGCTGGATAAGAAGTAGAAGACTGCCATCTTCAACCTATCTCTAGAATGTTCCATTGGTACCATTTCCAATAGCTTTTGTTTCACGTCTTCATGTCTAATTATCTTCATCTTAAAATGCTTCTTCATGAAGTTCATACTTCCCGCTTTTTTATAATCGAGTGGATAATCATTCTAATCCCGATATCAAGGCATATTCTTTTATACCATAGTGGATAGGAACACCATTACGATGAACCAAGCTTCCTTTTTCTTTTTGATGCATGCCGTTCGAAGACGGAGCATCCACATGCCCATAACCTTGTGGTTTTTGTCCCTTGGCATGTGCTAAATGTGTTTGAACCGCGAATGGTTCTCAAATCAAGTTATACTCCGCCGGCAGGAAGTACATTCTCAAATGTTGTAGTGCTATCACTTCTTCTTTGGTATCTTGCTACAAACAGTTTTGCCAAGTATTACCAAGTTATACTTTCTTCAGAATTTTCTCAAATCACACTAGTTTTACCCATTTATACCAATGTATTACTTAAAACCCAAAAATTCATATTAACCAACTCGAAGTTCACGATTTAGTTATCCCTAGTTCTACCTAATTCAACCGAACCCAACTACTTACCATCTCCTCGGGTCCCTCCTCGGGTTTCTCATTGGATCTCTCATCGGATCTTCGTCGGTGGAATCTCTCAAAGTTGAGCTACTACTCACGGTTTGGCTTATTTCTCCTTCTTCTTCACTCTATTCAGATCAAACCGGAGATAATTCTCTCTCTCTCTCCCTTTTATTCTACCACTTCCTCAACAATAGGGTTGGGATCTGAATCCCTTTCTCCATCTTCAGCATTTGTCGCCTCTTCATTTGGAGCTATCTTCTTTCCCTTCTTTGTCGTTCACTTTGTTTTAGTCATTCTGTCGATCGAACACAATAACAATTTCTCAGAATCGAGTTGTTCTCCCTAGTTTCACGAACACAATGATATAAAGAGATTATTTCAATTAGGGAGTTGGGTTTCGGGTTAGATTCGATTTTGTTTTAGGTGGGCGGATAAAAGCCAAGTAATCCGGATAAATTGTGGATTTTTGTTGAGATAGCATCGTAATCTCCACATTTAAAAAAAAAATCAAAACGAATCTCGGTTTTTTTGGAAGAATTTTGAAATTTACCTCTGAGAATTAGGGGCTTTCCAGACGATTCCTTGTTGGGGGCACTGGAGATTGTGGCCCAATTTTTTTTTGTTTTGGGTCGCCTTCTTTGAGAAGAGTGATGACGAAACAGCCTTAGGGTTTTAAAATCTTTGATGGGTTTTATGTACAAGAGATGTTGCTTTTGTTTGATCACTTAGCAATATGGGAATAAACAAGACAATTAATCCAAATTGTAACAAGTTGCTCTTATAAATGGAGCCTTTAGTGTCCGTTTTTCTTGTCATTTATGTGAGCCATGAGAAACTGATTCTTATACGTTAATTTTTAAAGCTATGTGTGGAACAGTTTTGATGAATTCAATTAAGTCACAAGACTTCAGATTCAATTAATGTTGTGTGTTAGAGTTTTTTTTTTTTTTTTTGGTAAATTGATGTGTGCTAGAGTTAGGCCAAATGATGCTTATTATTTCGTTGGCTTGTATATAACAATGAGGCCCTTTAATTAATGACTGGAAAAGCTTCTATCTACATATAAACTTGCACAACTAAATACGATTGCTAAATATGCACACTTGTTTGCTTCCTCAAACCACAAAGAAATGTTTGTGAGACAGAGAAAACATTTCCATGTACAAGGACCACACTACATAGTAACAGATCTTACTACCACAATCATAACTGTGGCAATGGCTAGCTTAAATTTCTTAATATTGTCTATTGTAGCGCAGAATCGAAAAGCAGAGCCGATGATACCATGTTCGATATTCGTTCTTCGTTCTTCCACTTCATGTAATCTTTTTTCTTGTTTCGATGTTAGCAAGGTTTCATCCATGTCTTATTCTTCTACTTAGCACATGTTTTGTTGTTTTTCCTTGTTGCAGATTTCTCAAGCCGCGATTTCCTTACAGCCTCTTGGATTTGTCTCTCATGGTCTTTTAGAATGTCCTCAATGTTTCCACCAGGAGGCATCAATGGACCCGAACAATGTATTCTGTTCTTCTTGCGTACGTATGTCTGAAACCGCATGAGAAAACATCTTAGGATCCATAATCTATTAGAAAAAAAACTAGAGCTAATATCTTGAAGCAAACAAGTTCCAAGTGTTTATTACCGTTGTGGTTTCTACGGCTACATCTTCTTTATGTGAAGGAGACAAGTATCTCCCAGTCATAGGCACGTTGCTCGATCGAGTAGCCTTTAGCTCAACTACATTGTTCCTAGAGCTCTCATTTTTACTCCATGTTGCAGCTATGCTTGGATGAATCATTGAATTGGTATGAGAAAAGCCTTTCTCTCTGTCGCCTCTTCCCGCCTCTCCTCTCAAACCGGTTCTACTGTCTTCCTGAGGATTGAACCTTTTGGTGGTGATTGTGTCTTTTGACTGCCCTGAAGCAACGAACTCCGGTGTTGTAGCAGTACTCTTGAAGTCTCTCGAACCCCGTCTGACCGATTCAGGTCCACGACCCTTCACGGTTTCAGCCTTTTTCCTGAATTCATATAGAACTTGTGTTAGGAATTCACATGAATCATTTTGGTGCAAGACTACTTATATAAGGAGTCTTTCTCACATACCTTCTTGCTTCTTCATCACGGACCTTTGCGTCAAGTTCCTTGCTTGGAGGATACTTGGGCAAACTTGATACATCACAAGGGAGTGGTTCCATTGTAAAGAACTAGAGAAACAAAAAAAGAAGAAAGAATTGAATTTTCATTGAGGAGGGAAATCAAGAACTGCTAGATGAAGAAATAAAAAGCTACCTTGCTACTTAGCGTCGAAGAAGCTGTGCCACGCTTCTCTGGTTCTAAGAATAGAAGCTTGTCAACAAGAACTAGAGCAGAAGATGGTAAGTTCTTGAAAGTCTCTAAAAGGACACGCTTATAAGGTTGTTGTGGCTTGAAACTTGTCGCAAGTGGTAGCTTTGTCTTTTTCCAGTAATCATCACATGGTGAACCACATAACTTGAAGATCTTATGCATTTGCTCCACCTAAGAGACATTGTCAAAGATCAATAAATTGTGCTAGAAAAGTCATAAGATTCAACAACTGATGAATCTACAGGTAATTTACCTCTGTTCTTCCGGGCATGATTGGTTTCCCTAAAAACAGTTCTGTGAGAATGCAACCAACACTCCACAGATCTATGCCAGGTCCATACTCTGTAGCTCCCAGTAGAAGCTCAGGGGCTCTGTACCACAAGGTTACTACACGGCTCGTCAAGGGTTGATCTTGTTCTGGATGATAGAAATTCGCCAGACCAAAATCTCCAATCTTGAGGACTCCATCATTGTTTACCAAGAGATTTGAACCTTTAATGTCGCGGTGAAGGATTCCACGGCTGTGGCAGTGTTCAAGCCCACTAAGCAGTTGTTTCATGTAACATTTGATCTACAAGAAACAAGATTTTTCGCCCTGTTAGTCCATGATTCCTTGTTACCTTTTTCGCTTAATCAAATCCTTGAGCGTACCTGTGATTCAGTAAATTTTACACCGGGTCTAAGAGCGAGACCCGAAAGGTCATGCTCCATGTACTCAAACACAAGGTACAAGCTACCAGAGAGTTTTGAAGTCACAAGACACTCAAGCTTCATAACGTTTGGATGGTCAAGTTTCCGCAAGATGTGTATTTCTCTGGCCATGAATCTCACGCTTTCCGGATCCATATTAACGAACCTGACCTTCTTCATGGCTACCATTTTACCGGTCTCAAGATCCCGGGCTCTGTACACGCTGCTGTAAGTCCCTTGTCCAATCTGTGAAAGGAGACAACACAATAGAAACTTTATAGCAATCAAGAAACATTAAAAATGGAAACAGAGAGAGTTAAAGTAACTAACTTTGTCCAGCTTCTCAAAAGACTCTGCACGTCGTGGAACCCAACCTTTGATGGCTTCACCTGCAACAGAAGTTAACCAAGAAGGCCATCCAGCTGCAATGAGTTCAGCCTCGGGGCTATGTGGAACACTTGTGGAAATATTACTAGGTGGAAACATATTGAAACCTCCTCCTCCTGTCCCAATATCTGCAGTTGGCCATCTCCGGTGACACCTTGTAGGTCTCTCAACAATAACTGTTTTACCATCACTATCATCAACAGGAACAATCAATCCGCTAGCTCTAGCGGATGGTTTATGCGCTAATCCATCAGCTTTGCGTCCACCAGAGCTTCCGTCAACGGATTTATGCGAAAACTCATCTTTCTTAGAAGTTACAGGTGCAATCAATTGAACTGAGGACGTTTTGTTCCAATTCTCTTTTGGTTTCTCATGTTGGTCATTAACTTCTTCTTCTGCTGTTCCTTTTGAGCAAATGCAGCCCATAATACTCAGACCGATTCACGATCTTTGTCGCATCAAGAACTAATCTTATCCTGAATGATTCCTAAGCATAAAACTCAGGAATCTCAGGTTTATTAGCTATATAACACAGAAGAGTATGAACAAACTGCAACTCTTTTTTTTCTCCTCTTCTAAGAATATTTAAGAAATCACAGAAAAGAAGACTTGTGATTCAAGAAACGAAAGAGGTGATGAGAAGAACAAGCAGGGGAAGGAGAGAGCCAATGTGGTCAATGAGGAATAAAAAGACTTTGGAGGCAAAGCAAATAGCAAAATTCAGAAATCTAAACACCAAATACAATAAGAGAGATAAAAAATCACAGAAGAGAAGACTTGTGATTCAAGAAACAAGAGAGATTGATGATGAAGATCCTCAGTTTCTTTTTTTTTTGGTTTTTTTTTTTCCGTTATCTCACTGCAAGATGGGCAAAAACGTTGCAGCAACTATTCGTTCGTCGATAACGGAAAATACGGAGAGAGAAAGATAACGAACAGAATGTAGTTAATTTCTGATATGGAAATTGTTTTAGGAATCAGGAGAGATTGATTTGGTTTTTGTGTCGCCGGAAATTATGGGTAAGCCCTAGATTCTCTGGAAGAAGACAACTCACAATATCTCTTTTTCTATTTTTGGATCTGTGTATTTTTTTGTTAGGAAACAGAGTAACGAATTTGCATGAGGTTAAGATTTGATCCAACGGTCAAAAATGAAGTTGTTTGTGTTGTTGTTACGACAATGTCCCACGTAGGATGTTTCTGTCGGACATCGTGGGTCCCACTTTCTCTATTTTCATCTATTCGCAAGAACATTAATCCCAAAGACTCTTCAACGTTCAAGTCTCCCACAAAGTATCTAAGCATATAACAAGCTAAGCTCTACATTGTCCACGACATTGTCGACTAGATTATTAGAAATAAATGTATGTTGCTTCAGGATAAGAGACTGCATAACGACATCGATATGACGATATCAACTAGTTATAACTTATATGATTCTTTTTTTTTTTTTAATATTAAGGTAGTTGTTCTTTTAATGTTAAGATAATAATATTTTAATTTTGAATCTCTGCAAGTTATTTTATTACAAAAACAAAAACCACGAGATGGAAATTTTCAAAAGAACATCTTGTGAAGTGAGAGAGAGAGACTCTTGCAAAATTGAAAAAGAAAAACACATCCAAAATGTATCTCTATCTCTTTAGCAGTGCCGGTCCGATAAAATCCGGAGCCAAATACAAAAAAAAAAATTGAAAGCTTTTTTTAAAAATAAAAATTCCTACTTTTTTTTTTTTTTTGCTAATTATTGGACATTTATAATTTTTATTTATTAACTTTTAGACATTTTTGTTAATTATGAGACTTTTTCACTAATTATAGAATATTTTTTTGTTAATTATGTCGTATTTTTGCTAATTTTGAGGGATTTTTTATTAATTTTGAGATCTAATTATATAAAAACAAAAAAAAATTCTCAATAAAATGGGCCTCAAAAATATGAGGCCCGACACAAATGTTTCATAAAAATTGATAAAGGGTCGGGCCTGCTCTCTAGAAGCTCATGATCTCTGTCTCACTAACACGGATCATAAATTTATGGAAATCAAACACCATAAACTTTTGCTCGAAACAAAATAAAACTAATAATAGCAACTTCTTAAACCTTTGGTTTTACCAATTCATTTAAAAACTCATACTCCTTCCGTTGTCGTTTTAGACTTTAAATTTTATTTTTAAAATAAGTATCGTTTTGTATTTTCAGTGTAAATATTTGATAAAATTTTCGGTGTAAATATCTGATAAAATTTTGCAGTTTAATCCTTACTACATTAATGTATTGACCAATGAAATTTTTTGAAAAATATATTAATAAGGGGTAAAATAGAAAATTTAATAGTTTTCATATAAGTGTGAAAACATCTTAAACGACATTTGTAATGAAACAGAGAGATTATATATTCACTGATTTTATTCATTTAAGAGTCTAGATAACTACAACTAGATAAATACTAATTAAAATGTAAAGATTAATGCGTTGAGTATTATCTATTTTTAAGATTTCTATGTTACAATAAATTTTATTATATACTAAATTTTGTTTAAATATGATGAGGTCCTAAAATATTTTGGGTCCTGATGAAGCTCATGCCTTATTTTGTGTCACATTAAGCACGGCCTTGGGCGAGTCGCTCGTTTGTAACATCCCACTAAAATTCGAAGAGAATTATAATCTATGATCTTTTTTTTTTTTTTTTTTTTTTTTTTTTTGGGCAAAAAATTATAATCTATGATCTATCTGATCAAGTTCCTTGTTAAATGAAAAATTAACAGTAGAGAGAAAGAGAGTACAAGAAGAATGGAAGAAAGATATATAAGAAGCTCGTATATATATATATATATATATATATATATATATATATATATATATATATATCAATATTTTAGTGAACCGAAGACAAACCACTAATCACTTTGGTTTCGGATGTTGCTTTCTTGGTCTTACTTATAACCACCCACTAAAAGTGAGTTTTTCAAATGGAGCTTTGCACGAATACATACCAAGAAATCAATATCCGAGCAAGACCACGGAATATTTATTAAAACGTTACAACTAGATACATCATACATGAGAAATCAGGAAAATGTATTAAATACTTTTCAGTGGTTTACACTTATAAGACCAAGAAACCAATATCCGAATCTTTATTTCAAATGGAGCTGTGTACGTAGCATGAACTTATTGAACCAGATGCAAAACAGTCTCACTTTAAATGAATATTTACATTTTAGCAAAAAGAAAAACAGGCAAACCGGATTAAACCGGAACATGAGCTTCAAAGTTTTTATCTTATCTTTTTTTTTTTTTTTTTTTTTTTTTTTTTTTTTTTTGTGCACAAGTTTTTATCTTATCTAAAAACGAAAAATAAAACTAAGAGATCAAATGAACAAGCACGTGGCTATGTACCTCACTCTGCATGCAGCCATGTTGTTCAGCATCCATCACTATACGTCAAAATCCGCCCCAAAAATATTAATTTTATCATATTCTCAAAAAAAAAGAGTACCATTTTAATTTAGTTGCTTCCTATCTTTCTTCTTCGTTTCGTTAGCCTGATCCTGGTGAAGAGAAAATGGTGGATCTATTGAACTCGGTGATGAACCTGGTGGCACCACCGGCGACGATGGTGGTGATGGCCTTCGCATGGCCATTACTGTCTTTCATTAGCTTCTCTGAACGGGTTTACAACTCTTATTTCGCTACCGAAAACATGGAAGATAAAGTCGTTGTCATCACCGGAGCTTCCTCAGCCATTGGAGAGGTACTAATATTAAGAATGATAAAAAGAATTTACTCTCTTCAAGAATCAAAACCATATAATCTTCATATTTATTTCCACAAATTGGTATTGCAATTTCAAAATATATGGTTTTAATTTTCTCATTAAAAAAAAAAACTAACTCACTTGGTTAGCAAATATGTTTTGGAGAGAGTTTGAATAACATATGTTGTCAAGTTGTCCTAGGTTGAAAGAGATTATTTTCTTAAATGCATGACCTTAATTCCTTGTTGACAAAAAATCGATAAATGTGCGTTTGTGTTTATGATTATTTCAATGTAAAACTTTAATATAAAACGAATTTTTTGAAAATATTATTTAAAAAAGTGGATGCTTCTTATAATTATCAAACCTAAATATTATTTTAGTTAATGTAATTTCCATTGCAATGAAGGAGAAAATAAAAATATTGTGAGTTTCTTTATTTGCATGGATGCTAATGATCTTGTTAATGAGATGGAAATTGAAATACAGCAAATAGCATATGAATATGCAAAGAGAGGAGCGAATTTGGTGTTGGTGGCGAGGAGAGAGCAGAGACTAAGAATTGTGAGCAATAAGGCCAAAGAGATTGGAGCCAACCACGTCATCATCATCGCTGCTGATGTCATCAAAGAAGATGATTGCCGCCGTTTCATCACCCAAGCCGTCAACTACTACGGCCGCGGTACACTACTTCTCGCCATTTCCTCGTGAAATGCTAGGGATAGGTTATCTTATAGGTCAAGCAATAGTTTTGGTTTTAACGGAAATGTTGTTTGTGCTTGATGATGAATTTGATGCAGTGGATCACCTAGTGAATACAGCGAGTCTTGGACACACTTTTTACTTTGAGGAAGTGAGTGACACGACGGTGTTTCCGCATTTGCTGGTATGTGTATCTTCGGGTTTGTATTGTTGTGCATTGATCAATTTAATAGATAAGATACTAAAAATTTGAGATTGTTGAGCAGGACATAAACTTCTGGGGGAATGTTTATCCGACGTATGTGGCGTTGCCATACCTTCACCAGACGAATGGCCGAATAGTTGTGAATGCATCGGTTGAGAACTGGTTGCCTCTACCACGGATGAGTCTTTATTCTGTTAGTACTTTTACTATAAACGTTTGCCGTTTTTTTCATGTCGTAAGATATTACATAATGTTAATTATCATTGCGTAGGCTGCAAAAGCAGCATTAGTCAACTTCTATGAGACGCTAAGATTCGAGCTAAATGGAGACGTTGGAATAACTATCGCAACTCATGGATGGATCGGGAGTGAGATGAGTAGAGGAAAGTTCATGCTAGAAGAAGGTGCTGAGATGCAATGGAAAGAAGAAAGAGAAGTAAAACTCATTTAACCATACCTGTGATTGAATGAACTTATAAGTCCCAAAGACTAACTTACATGATCTGCAGGTACCTGCAAACGGTGGACCGCTAGAGGAATTTGCAAAGATGATTGTGGCGGGAGCTTGCAGGGGAGACGCATATGTGAAGTTTCCAAACTGGTACGATGTGTTCCTCCTCTATAGAGTCTTCACGCCGAATGTGCTGAGATGGACATTCAAGTTGTTACTGTCTACCGAGGGTTCACGTAGAAGCTCCCTTGTTGGTGTCGGGTCGGGTATGCATGTGGATGAATCCTCTTCACAAATGAAACTTATGCTTGAAGGAGGCCCACCTCGGTTTCCCGCAAGCCCACCTAGGTATACCGCAAGCCCACCTCATTATACCGCAAGCCCACCTCATTATACCGCAAGCCCACCACGGTATCCTGCAAGCCCACCTCGGTATCCTGCGAGTCCACCTCGGTTTGCACAGTTTAATATCCAAGAGTTGTAATAAAAGCCGGATGGAGTGTCGAGTGTAGAGTGAACTTGAGCTTTAGAACTTTCTCCGACTAAATGAACGACAAAAAGAAAAGCAATGTAAAGGACATCGAGTAAAGAATAATGCCGGATGATACAGCCATATGATGTTACTTCTTAGTTACTTATGTCACACAAAACATTACACGAACACAATGTTGATGTATATGATATTGCATCTGTCAAATGTGATTTATACATAACTTCTCCACAAGTATTAAACAAAAAATAGCAGAACCAAGACCGTTCAGCACCACTAGGCTCTGAGAACCTGGAAAGAAGATGACAAGATCCTGAAGAGACCATCCGGGTTATCTGTGTGAACCTGAAGGGACACAACCGGAATACTGGTTTACGGGTTCAGTAATAGAATAACAAAGAGGAAACAAAGACGAAGCAATGTAGAAGCAGAGGCATAGTTGGTTTAATTTACCCAATGGCCGGCATCTTCCAGGACATGCATTTCTACGCCACCGCCTTCTTCAGAGGCTAGCTCTTCAGCGGCATGGATTCGCTGAAGGTCTTTTAGGGCCCAACGGTGCAAACTTCTTTCCGCTTTCAGAAAATTCACATGTACTCCTCTTGGAAGATTCTCAACAAAGTTCCTTTTATTTTGTAGAAGTAATATTGCCAAGAAGTTTTGAGTATAATTAGGTAAGATCTCATACAAGTTTGTTCCACTAAACACAAAGAGGTTAGAAGAAATAGATTACCATAGATTTGTGTCTTCGTAGGACTGGTAAAGTTCAGCGATCCCATCTAGGTCAAATGTCCACGAGAAGCTAGAAGCCGATGGTCCAGTAGGTCTGAGATTGGTAACGACCCACTGCACAAGTAATATGCTCACATACATCAAGATTGTTGCAACTCGACAAGTATCAGAAGAATCAACCAACAGTCTTAAAGTTAGTTAAAATCTGATAGAAACTGCTGAGCAAATGGATATTACTATACCTGTGCTACATCATTGGAAAACCCTTCATGTAAAAGAGCTTTAAGAACCTCACGCTTCGACAAGACCTTCAACCAAACAGAAAAGATAAGATGTTCATAAGCTTAAATTGTCTAGAACCTTTTTGTTTTTCTAACTTCTAAGATCCTGTAGGTGGTTCAAACTGCTTATTGCAATTCATCAATAAGAGTATCAGCAGTTTGCAAATTCTTGTAACGTCCAGTAAAATTCATCCTTGTATTATTTGTACATGCTTGTTCAACTATCTTTTTAATATTTTTAAAATCTACCAACCAGAACAAGAATTCTTAAGTTACTCCTTGATATAGCAAACTCTGCAGTTCTTCAACTCTCATGAAATAATCAAGTATCAACTTATGAATTAAACCTATAAACAGCACTATTTTGTGATCTTGTATGAAAAAGAATTCAGATGTTTAAAGCTTCGATGGTGAGCTTACCACTTTTGGCAATTTACGTAGAAATGATATAAGCTCTCGTGGATGATCTTCTCCATCTCCTCCTGCATGAACTTTTCCAGGAGTAGCATCCAATACCCAAGCCTATAATGGATACAATTTAGGGCGATTAACATTAATCCTACCAACATTGCGATATAGACATCGGAAAAACACTTACTCGGACTGGTCGTGGAAGAGGCTTAGCTGCTTGCTCCACCATGCTTAATACAACTACACAGATCATAGAAAAGACTCATTAGCAATGTTATCACATCTGAGCAAATAATCTCGATGACTCAATTTCATAAAGACTTTAAGTCACCTTTCCCCCCAAAGCTATGACCAACAAGGACCCGAGGTGTTAACCTCAACTGACCAACCTAAGAATGAGAGAATAGAGAACGACGAATCTCAGAGAAGTTCTCTTTCAAGAATAATCGAATACAAAAGCGGCCTGAGAAAGAAATTTACAAGTTTTAGAACATCAGAAGCAGTTGTAGCAACAGAGTGTGGACCTCTCTTCTTGAGAGATGCTGAATCCCCATGGCAACGAAGATCTACCAAGAGAAACTGTGAAGATTGAATCAAGAGAAGCAGATTAGTTATTCGCAAGCCAATAAGTGTGTGTGTGCACAGCTCAGTACATTTGGTAGTGAAACAGATACCTGCCAAGTTGGAAACTCATGAGCCAATCTTCGGGCAAAAGTGCCTAGAGTAGCAGGAAAAAGGTTTGATTAGCTAGAAATGTTTGACACCATTCTAGTAAACCGTAAAGTTTGGGCGAACGAGAAACAAAACTAAAAAGGCTGAGAAGGCATTAAGAATCCCTTCAGCGAATAAACAAGATCGATGATCTATTTGCTTGCCACTAACAGGCACATGAAGAGATTCAGAAATGACTTTACTGGTTTAATAATTCCTTATATAAGATTGAAGAAATTAAGTACAGCAAAACTTGAAACAATTTCACAAGGAATCCAGCAAAGACTGACCCCAGTTTTTCCCGCTCCCTAAAATTCCGTGTAAGAGAACAGCGGTAGGTGTATCTGGAATAGATTTGTCATCCTTCCATCTCCATTTCACCTGCGTGTGTATGATCATTTCAGTCCACAATCAATCTGAAACACAGAGAATCTCTCAAACTTATGTTAGCTTCTCTTGGCTCAGAGTCCGTATTCATCAAGTTAAATACTTTTTTCTTGCAAAACAAGCTTAAATACTAAGATAACATTCCAGTAACGAAATATACAACAAATTGGCTCTCAGATAACTTACAAGTGCTCCTTGAACAAGATCATACGCCTGCAAACAATGAACACAAGATAATTAATAATCAGAGTCCAGAAATTCACATGAATCACAGCAACTCTAAACAACTAAACCTCAGAGAAATCCGATTTTAACAATCCAAAATGGTTCAAAGTATCAAACTTTAGGTAGTAGAACAAGATAAACTAATCAAAGTCATATATACCAGAATCCGAGGAGGCTCAGCAACATCATTACTCGTTGATTGTCTCTCATCAACTAATGCCATACGTATAGATGATCCTCTGACTTTACGAGTTCCATGTACCAATTCCAAACGATGCATACAGAATCTGTCACTCTTTAAGTAGACAAAAAATATTCCAAGTTTGGAGTTAAAGTTTGAGACTTTAAACTGCTTAATGCCACAGAGATTGAAACAGAGAGAAGGAGAATCTTATTAACCTGAGAATTTGTCCCAATTCTGATGAAATTAGGAGAATGGATTGATGTCTTCGATTGAAACCTAAATCCACATCCTCCGCTAGAACTTGCCGTGGAGCACGAGACCGCCGACATTAAGACCGATTCAAAATTGGGAAACAGATCAGAGGACGCAGAGAGAAGACGGAGGGGGATGTGAAGTTAAAGAGGCGGAGAAATCGAAGGCAATGTGCTTCTTCTCCTCCTCCTCTGTTTTTTTTTCTTCTTGGTATCTCCGTCGCGTTTTTTCCTCCGCCGTATGTTTTTGTTTCTGGTGAACCTCAGGTTGGAGACAGAGATGAAATGACAGATTTACCCCTTTTGTCGGCTTTGCACAGACGTTGATCGACCACTTGGCGTGGTCCAGGCTCTCACCTAACTAAACACCTCACATCTCTCTTTTCTTGTGTCTTAACTCAAATAACGTGTAAACTCTATTAGTCCCAATATCTTAATCCCAAAAACCTAATTAAACAGAGTAAGTTAATAGATAGATAGATAGTAAAAATCGATATAAATTTGATTTGGTTTAAATTATTTTCAAAATTTTCTAATCGAAAAAAAGGGTGAATTAGCGCAGAAACATTATTGGGAGAGGAAATTAGCTAAAAGACATTAGTAGAAATCGTTGGAGACAAGACCCAAAAAAAAAATATAACTGGGCTTGAAGTTCCAGTTAATAACGAAAAAACCAAAGGTGCGTTTGGCCATGCGCGTGGTGAAGGATTGTGTCTCTTAAGGGATCCGAAGGAACAACCTGCCATATAATAAATGCTGCCAGGTGAACTGACATTGCCGCGTTGACAAAAAGAACGAAGTAATCGTTAATAAATGCAACAGATCTTAACTTGAGCTAACTCAAATTTGAATATAGACAACTAACATAGTTGCATGGATACTCAATAAATAGTTTTTTGAATTTTTTAAACAACTAACCTAATTGCATGGACACCTAATGAATATTTTACACGATTATGACATTTGTATACAAATAAACATATACATAGAACGTTAGAAATAATTATGGTGTTAAATAGTGCGGTCTATGTGTACATGTAAATATATATAGATCGTTATTAGCATTTATATATATGTAAATACGTACATGGAGCGTTATTAACATTTGTATACATAAAATATGTATATAGACCGTTATTAACATTTGTATACATGTAACTACAAATATTTATTAGATATTCAATTTAATCGACGGGGGAGACAACATGCAAGATATATACATAGATTTACAAAATGTTTTGGACATCCACAACAAACAACAATTCATTTGTCTCACGCAATGGACTGATTCAAAGTCTAAATATTATAAGCGAGTGGGGTTAAAATTGGGCAAAAGAGGGGCTAAAATTATCGTCGTTCTGGGACTTGTGTCAGATTACTAAAAAACTAAATAACTTCGTCAATAACGTCTCTCACCCAATTATCCCAAAAAAAAACCAAAATTTGAGAGAAGTTAGAACATCTCTAAACAATATTTTTTAAATTTAAATATGGAATTTCTTGCACTCCAAAAATAACTTCAAAACTTTAAATTTGAGTCCTACAAAATAATATATATTTTTTGCATTTCAATGCCAACAATTATATATCACACAAATAATTTTACTAATTTTGTTGTTTATCATTTTTGTACCTATAATTTTAGATTCCTAAGTATTTCACATAGATCTTTATAAATTTAATTTTACACTAAAATTAGATAAACACCAATAAATAGTATTAAAAATACTAATATAAAAGAAATATTAGATGTTAAAATTTTTTACACAATAAAAGTATTATATTAAGCAAATTTAATAAAAATAAAATAATACTAGAAAATAATACTACAACAATACAAATAGTCAAGTAAATTTAATCTGGAACTTCCCAAGGTCACCAAAATATTATCCACACAAATTTGATGTAATTGAAGGCAATGTTGTGGGTTGTTGTTGTTTTTTTTTTGGGTGTAATTCTAACTAGTTCAATCCAAATAAACTCATTACTATCAATGAGTATGTCCAAATTTGTCAACAAAACTTTTAGTTTCCTCTGTCATTGAAAATATTTTTATTTTTGCTAAATTTTGCATAAATAATTGAGATATCTTATAGTCCTTTCTCGTAGTTGCTGCACTTTTGTTATTAATAAATCAAGAGTATCTTCATCTAATGAAAACAAAATATTAACATGTAAATTATTACATCCGGACGATGTGATGAATTTGATCCACCGTCATCACTACTTACGATTGAAAATGAAAACATTTTATAGAGATTGTGATATCGGAGAGCAAATATGATGCACGAGTTTATTGAGTGTTTTGGTATACTATGTGTATGTTGTTATTTAATTTGTGTTAAAGGATTTGGAACCTTTAAATCTCTTTGCAAAAATGCCTAATCTTCTACAACCGGTGCGTATTGTTGGATATCCTCGAGGTATGTTAATCTTATACTAATTTGTATTGTGTTATTTGTTATGTAAGAATCTCTGTTTTATGATCACATTGATATTAATTCCACTCAAATATGTAGGTGGGATATGATCTCCATTACAAGTGACATCATTTTAAGGATCAACATATTAACTCGAACTCGAAGCAGTGCTTCTAGTTGATGCGGCGATTAATTCAAGAAATAGTGGCGGTCCTGTTTTCATCGGGAATGAAGTAATTGGTGTAGCTTTCCAGAGGCTTGTCGGCGGAGACAATATCAGGTCAAGTTCTATAACTTTTTAAGTAATCTTTTGTTGTGATTTCGTAAGTGATCAATTAGAGAAGATGACTATTGCAACCTAGAAATTTTCTAGATATGGAAATCATTTTCTTTGGCAATTAAATAGTAAATGTGAATTTTCAGAGAATATGCTACAATATTTTATGCTGATTTTGTGCATAAGTAGTTAAAAAAAATTAAGATATCACCTCAATAATGGATCATAATTAATTAATTGGTTTGTTTTGCAGATACGTGATTCCAGCTCGGATTGTTGAGCTATTCTTAGCAAGTGTTGATAAAGGAGATGAGACATAGTTTTGTTCACTGGGGATTTCTCTACAATCTATGGAGAGTCCGACGATGCAGAAGTATTTTAACCTTTGGAAGATTATGACTGGTGTTCTAGTGACATAGTTCAATGTGCTTTCACAAAGTAACGAGTCTTTGGAGAAGAATAATGCGATTCTCGAAAATGATAGGATCCCGTAAAAGATGATGACAAATATATAATTTTATCTAATGGTTTGAATGATTTGAGCTTGAATTTTAGATAGTTTGTGAGTTTATAAATTTATTTTGTAGTTTTCTATGAAAACAAGTTTTTGATACATTTGAATGGTTTCATAGCTTTAAAGAAACCCAATGAAGGAATCTCTCTCAAAGTTTTGAGAAAGGAAGAGGTCAACAACATCGACCTGGAAGATGTTGGTGAGTTTATCCTCCATAAATAATAATGTAAGTGTTTTTGGTGGTTGGTTTCAAAATTCTCATTGTCTTTGGTTTTGTTTTTGTTAGATTGATACTTGGTATACAACCGATTATCCTTCTCCAAGCTATTATATCTTTGCGTGATTCGTTTTCATAGAATCCATGACGGGTGTGAAGATCTCTTAGGTAGTTTTTCTCTTTTTATCAAGTTTTTTCTCTTTCTTAATTTTGTGTTTTCTTAGGCATGAGACTTATGGTAGTTTTGTTTATGTAGGTGTTGGAGGATAATATTAACTAGAGATATACTTCATTCAGAGATTTGGAGGTATATTCGATACTATTTTTCATCTATGGTAAAGAATTTTGGACAAAAAATAAAATTATCATGTGTCTTTTGTTGGAAATATGTACATTGCGTTAACGGACAAACCGTGGACACTCTTGAGAAATTGTATGAGCTTATAGTAGCCTCTACCAAATATGTGAGGATAGAGTTGGAAGGTAACCTAGTTGCTACCAAAAGTCTCGTGGTCAGCTCTTGGAATGTGATCACAAAGTGATGTTTGATATGTCTGAAGACATTGAAAAAACCTTTCCTTGCCTTAGGAGAAGAATTGTCTGACTAATCCTCCCGCGACTCATCTCCGACTCTCACTTTATTGTTTTTCTTTTTGTTTCAGGACTCATCTCTTGGACTCCTTGTTTTACTTTATTGTTTTTCTTTGTCTCATGACTCATCTCCTTGAGTCTTTCTCTTATTTTATAGTAGAAATAGATGTATCATACATCCTTTGTATTAGTTTGGTTGCCCAAAGGCAATATATAGAGCATACCATACAAATTTGATGTAAATAGAAGGTTGTTTTTGTTTTTAGAAATCGATTGAAAATGATTTTTTTTATAGAGATTGTGATGTTCGGGAGCACATATGATGCACATGTTTATTGAGTGTTTTGGTATTCTTTTTGTAAATTGTGACTTAATTTGTGTGTTTATGATTATTATTTATATGTAATTTTATATTGCAATGTCCTGTTCAATTACTTAACATTGCTTGTAATATTTATTTAATATATATATATATATATATATATATATAAAAGATTTTATGATCTTAATTAGTTATGAACAACTATAATGCAAAATACAAATTGTTATGAAGTTGAATTTGAAGTTTTGGAGCCGATTGGTAACGACTGTTAGTTTTGGCTGTAGGAATTTTGACTGTAAAAACTTTAGCTGCAGAAAATTTGGATGTAGAGACTTTGACTGTAAAGACTTTGATTTTTAAAATATGATTGGTAACAAAAGACTATAAAAGTTGTGACTGTTATTTTATTAAATATTTTTTAAGGATATAAATTATGCTAAAAATAAATTTTTTATGACAATATAGTGACAAAATAAATTTTATTAATAATAAAGTTTAGAAAAATTACAAAATTCATAAATGATAAATAGATAAATATTTTTAGCAAATAAAAATATATATTTAATCCATATAAAGATTTGATTCGGTTCTTGGATTGAAAAACCAGCACTCCGATGCAAATGATGATGGCTTATGATGGTTGTTGATAAAAAATGAAAAATAGATTTCAAAATAACAGATATAAAAAGATTATTGTTAAATAATCAAAGTATTTTTAAGATAAATTACTTATAGATTAAGAATTGGCTTTTCAATCATTATTGGGAGAAAAAAAAAAGAAAAAAAACAGATTTTGTTATGAACAAAGAGGTTTCGAGAATTGTCTCTCTGTTATTCATGTATTCATAAAATACAACATATATATAGGGATATAATATTAGGGTTTAACTTAGAGATTAGATATTCTTAGGGGTGTCAAAATGGGTTAATACCCATGGGTTACCCGAACCCGCCCATGATTTTAGTGGGTTTGGGTAGAATTTTTTTACCCTTATATATAAATGGGTTTTAGTGGGTTACCCTATTAGGGTTATGGGTTTAATGGGTAAAACCCATTAGGATCATGGGTTACCCATGAGTTTCATAACCAAAACTAAAAAGTAAAATTTATATATATATTATATATATATTAATATATTATGTAAAATTTATATAAATATATGTAAAATATCTTCTTTTCTTTACAACTACTGTATATATGTAAAATATCTAAAATAACTATTAAAGTTTACATTTTACCTAAAAATAAAAGTAAAAAGTAAAATATATGTATAATATTATTTTAATTTATTTATTATTAAAAGTAAAAAGTAAAATATATGTAAAATAAAAGTAAAAAGTAAAATAACTAGATTTTTTTAATTTATTATTTAAAAACTTTTGTTGGTTTACAATTTTATGTTATTTTTTTGGATTTTTATTATTTATATATTTTATTATATATATATATGGGTACCCATATAACCCATTAAGCCAATGGATTTCTACAATAATGGGTTTGGGTATGTAAATTCAACCCATATAAATATATGGGTCGGGTCAAACCCGTCCATTAAACACTCGAACCCATATGGGTTTGGGTCGGGTCGGGTCGGGTTACCCATTTTGACACCCCTAGATATTCTAGAATCTACTAATGGACCACATAATAGGCATCCATATAACAATAGGATTATTCATAACACTCCTCCTTTGGTGACCATTTTAAAAAGAAATTCTTGTCTAAAATGCCATTTTCTTGAAAAATCTTAGGAAAATGCCATTTTTTGAATAGTTTACGGATTTTGCCACTTTTTAACACTTAAAAATGCAAGTAGTTACAATTTGTTTTTGCGAAAATACGTACTTTAGTATCCATTCGGTTATTTTGCTTTGGATATTTTCGGATATTTTGTTTTTTTTTGGGTATTCCGATACTTTTGGATATTTTTCGGTTATTTTCAAGTATTTTTTATTATTTTTATATATTTTCTAAGTATTTTTGATTATTTGGTCTATAAATAACTAATCTTTTTGAAAATATAATTGTATTTCGGTTATTTTCGGTTACTCGAAATATTTTGGTTTAGTTCGATTCGGTTACGGTTTTTTCGGTTATAGAATTTAATATCCATTCGATTATATTCGGTTCGATTTTTTTTTAATTTCGGTTTCGGTTCGATACATTTGGTTCGGTTTATTTGCCCACGATCAGGCGCATATGAAGTTAGGCCAGAATACTTACCTTCTGAGCCCATCGACAAGCCCACATCCAAAACCCAAGTTCTTAAAAAAACAATAAAATAATAAAAAAGAATAAAATAGTTAACCGACTCAAAATCAAACCACTAACAAAACGCCACGTGTACTCAGAATAAAACGTATGGCCTGTGTCTCTCTCACGCCACCTCTATTTCTCTTCTGCCTCCTCGAACCTTCTTTTTAACAATTTCCACTTTTTCTCGAAGAAGCCAATTAACAAAAAAAAGCTCAAAAGAAACCGTCAAAAAGCCACCGTTGAGATTTTTCTTCCTCCAATGGCGTCGTTCGATGAAGCACCTCCCGGAAACCCCAAAGCCGGTGAAAAGATCTTCAGAACCAAATGCGCTCAGTGTCACACCGTCGAAAAAGGCGCCGGTCACAAACAAGGTCCGTTCTCTGATTCTCTCTAAGATCTAGAATTCTCTGTATCGTTTGATTTATTCTCATCGCTTACGCTTTGTTCGAATCTGGATCTACCGCAACGGTTATGGAGTTTATAAATAGCGATTTGATGTTTGCGTTTTGTTTTCTTGTATTCATCTGGACGTATTTGTTCTTCGTTTGTGTGTTGTTTTGAATTTGGGAGTTTTTCTTATGAAAACAGGACCGAATTTGAATGGATTGTTTGGAAGACAATCTGGAACAACACCAGGATATTCTTACTCTGCTGCTAACAAAAGCATGGCTGTGAATTGGGAGGAGAAGACTCTTTACGATTACTTGTTGAATCCTAAGAAGGTATGTGATTGCTCTTTATTCCTTTAATGGATTTTAATCATAGTTTCTGGTGAAAATGAGGTTCTTGATGATTGTTCATAAGCTAATTTGTGGATCTATACTCTTTGATTATAGAGATTAATCTGTTAATAAAACAATTAGGAGTCTAATATCATCTTAGTATTGTTCTGTTGATCTACAAACCCAATTTGTTTGTTCTCTTCATCTTTACCTTTAAGCTGTGTGTGAAACATCTCGAAAATGTGTCATTTGCTTTCATTTGCATGTTCAAGAATATCAAGACATTAGCAACATTTATTTTGGTTATCATCTTTACTCTGAATCATCATGAGATTGTCCAGAAATTGTTGTTGAGTTAATACTTGAGTCCTTCCTTCACTCTTGTGTGTCGTTTCTTTATTGAGCTGATTTGTGGAATTGTCCACAAATCTTATGATTCATCTTTTACTCTTTAAGCTTTGTGTGCATCATCTCAACAGTGTTCCATTTTATTCTATTGCATGTTCAAGAATATCAAGATAGTAGCCACTAGCCACATTGTTTTTAGTTACCATGTATAGTATGAATCATAAGATTGTCTGTCAAGAAATTGTTGTTTGGCTAATACTGAATCCTCCTCTCTTCACACTTATGGGTTGGTTGTTTCTTATTGAGCTGCTGATAGAAAGAGATTAGATTTCAATTTGATTGAATTTGTGTGGATTTACTTTGCTTGTTACAGTACATCCCTGGAACAAAAATGGTGTTTCCTGGACTGAAAAAGCCGCAAGATCGTGCCGATCTTATCGCTTACTTGAAGGAAGGTACTGCATAAGACAGGCACGGCTGGATATTTGAAGCATCTGCTATTCCAGTGCATTTTTTTTCTCACAGATAAATAAATCAGACCAAAAATATTATGGTCATGAACTGGTTTTTGTATGGTCGTTTCTTCTTAGTTTTTTTACTTTGTCGATGATCCTTTTTTTTTTTTTTTTTTTTTTTTTTTTGGACAAAGAGTGTTTCTCATTAATTAAGAAACGGGAGTAAACAAACGAAGAGTCTTCTTAGCTAGTGCATCTGCAGCTAGATTTGAAGCTCGAGGGATAAACATAAAAGCAATTACATCAAATTGAAGGGATAAATTCAGGATATCGTGTTGAATCCCGTGAAGTTCCTTTGAGAGGATCTCCGAATTCAGGATATCGTGTTGTTTGGCTAATACTGATTTACTCAATGTGATTGTATTGATGTTGGCAAACAATATTCAAGGGCAAAGTTACAGGACGAAGTAAATATTTGGCTTGTGAATGGATTCGAATTAATTACAGGGTTTGACTGATCTCATGAACACTACTATGAATGTGCGATTGATTAACGAAATGATTTCGTTTTGGTGTTAATCATTATTGGTTGAAAGATGATGCATGAGTGTTCTTGTTCATCAAAGTATTAAGATCCGTTTTCGCAGTTATGGTTGATCAAGAGCATAGCTTTCACATTTTGACACACTTTCTTGATAATGTTTTCTTCTAATGCAAACGCTTGCTCAAATTTTCAGGAAATTAGTAGAGTCTCCTTACGGTTATTCTATAGATTGCTAAAGATGGCATTTTTTTTTGGGTTGTTCCCAACAATCACGACGACATCAACTACAAACTTGCTTATGATAGTTTTATGTCCAAGGTATTCAACACGTTCCGTCTCGCCATTTTTGGTCTCACATGATCAATTCCGGTTTCTTGAAACATCATGTACTCTTCTTCGTTGGTTGAACTGCTTCTTGACCATGGACACGTTCTTCATAGAATCATAGCTCACTATGAGCTGCTTCTTCACCATGAACTTCTATCATTGAATTTGTATCACACGTTTGGTGGTTTGGCTAGAGATGTGGAACACAAATTTTCGTTTCCTATGTTTTAAAAGTATCCCAAAATCACCCCAAATTTAATAATGAAACCTCACCAAATCACCAATCAGTTTTTTTTTTTTAATAAAAAATCTTAACAAATAATCAAATCCCCAAAAAACTCACTCAAAAATCTAAATTATTCAAATTCCACCAAATCTCCTAAAATATCAAGTCCAATACATCCCCCAAGGTCTTCAAATCATAACTAGACGGCTATATAAGAGATACGTATAATCCGGCTAAAACGGTAGTCAGTAGAACATGCATAATTGAGTAAAAAAATCAACAGAAACATAAATTTTTAGAAGTTTGATAAAAAAGTCTAGTTTTTTTTTTGTAATTTTTGAAATAATAATTATGTAAAATCTCTTATATATTAATTAAGAAACATACTTAAAGAGAATAACCTGTAGCTACCATGTATTTACAGAGATGCTATGCTGACGTACCACAGACAGAGCAATTCTTAGCCAACTAAATTCATTACCCGTCCTTTACTAGACAATTTACAAAAATTGTCATTAACGCTATATATACATACTAGATAAGGCCCGCATAAATAGGCGGGTCTATGAAATAAATATAAATTTTAAATAGTAATCAACAAACTTTTCAAATATTTAATTTAGTTTTTTTTTTTTTTGTGAATTTCAATCTTACACATTCAATTTTGCGATACACTTTTAACTTTCTATTTCATCATAATAAACTAAATTTTCATTCTTATAAACTCATTACTTTTTTCAAAAATGTTGTGTTTCCATTTAAATAAAAACACTATATTATAGTGATAAATACGGTCAAACTAAATTAATTTAAATAACTTATATTGTTATTTGAACTTCAACGGTCATTGTTTATTAGCTAGTATCCATGTTAAATTATTATTTCTAAATAATATATGCCAAATTTAATGACCTATAAAAATTGTTAGTTTTTCTTTTTGGTTAAGAAAAATAAAAGTTAATTTTTTGTAGATCTAAAAATAGCATGTGATATTCAGATCTAATGAATATATGGCAATTGAGGCAAATTAATAATTATGAACGGCGATAGACATAGACTAGAGTTATTGTCGGAGAGGCTTGGTCTAATGTCGGAGGAGATAAAGAATGTGCAGGTGTAATAAGAGAAGTTGGGGAAAGAGGATAAGAGGCGGTAACAGTGGTGTTAGTGTTGATGATGGTGGTTCAAGCTTGGCGGTGGTGGCGGCGGTAAATATTGATAAAGGTGGTGAGTCAGAATTAGTGAGATTCGGTATTGATGGTGGTGATGATTGTGATAGTAGTGAGATACAGTTGTGGTGGGTCAGCGTAGTGAGACTCGGTAGTGATGCCCGACGAATGCGAGAAATGGAGATAGGGAAAAAATAAATAAAGATATGGTGGTGAAGAAATCCGACGAGAGGTAGAAAAGGAGAAAGAAAGAGGAGTTCGAGCAAAAATAAGAGAAATCTAATGAGAGATACATAGAGATTTGAGAATTAGAAAGAAGAAAAAACGAAAAAATTGGTAAGATGAGCCTAAAATGACAAAAGCTATGTAGCAAATAGATAATGTTTAGTCTGATGTTGTTTTCTTAATTTTTTTTTTAGTCTTAAGTTACATAGTGTATATTCTCTAATTCTTTATAAGATTGTTTCTTTCTGATGAGGATATTTCATATTATCAAGTAAAGTTATATGACATGGATATAGACGGTCTCATATTTGTCACAATTTTATTAAGACGTCAAACTTTTCTAAAAAAATATCTATATTTACGTAACTCAGACTATATGTTTACATATGATACATATATCATTCATATGTTTACGTAACTATATAATTTTATCTTTTCTTATTGTCATAGTTTTGTTTCCATCTTGCCCACATTGAAATTACAAGATGTAACACACTCTTCCGATGGATGTAAATAACTTATTAAAATTTAATAATACAACATATGAACATTTATGACTTCATAACTTATAATAAGCAAAACATTATATAATTTTATAAATAGGCCAATATTTATATTAGATGATTTAATTAATAATTAGTATAACATAACTATAAATAATGTTTTATATTGCTCATTATGCTAATAAATCTATATTTAGAAATAATCATGCTGCATTTTCTAAAATAAATATGTTTATAGAATTTTAGTTAAGCTTACAAAAATAGAATAAAAATATTAAGAATGATAATCTTGACAGGCAACATGTGCAACGCACGGGTCCATATCTAGTAGACATATAAATAAGTATATGTAAATATGCTTCTTTTTTTAGTTTTCTTATTTCTTTAAGGAAAGAACAAAGTTAAATATTTTCGACACATGTTAACATCTGATCGATACAATTGACACATGTCGCGATCAAATGAATTATTAACTTTGAAAACCATACTTTATATAATAAGATCTCACAAAAATAAAAAATAAAAGGCAAATTCCAATTAAAAATAGTAGATACTTAAAAACGAAATTCCAATTAAACAAGCTTATAATTAAGCAATTAATTTTTGGAACTTAATATATAACTACCTTACATTTTTCTATAGAAACATACAAATACTATGTTAACAAAGATATTAATATAATGGTAAATTGACGTGGCAAGTAATAGTGCCGGTAAACTACCTAGTTAATTTTTTAAAACTTAAACTAACATTTTCTAAAAGTAAAATAACTTTTAATATTACTTTATTTTGTAAATATTTTACTTTTATGGGCAATTGACAAAAATAGTACCAATGTTTTTATTTTCCAAAATTAGCAGAACATTTTTAAAAGTCCACAAATAGCACTCTAAACTTTAACTAAATAGAAAATGAGAGAAAACACTAACCTAATATTAAATTAAATCAAAATTTCTTTTAAATAGTGGAAATATATATCTTAAATTGGAAATAAGGAACCCAAATATAATACCACAAATTCATATTAAAATGAATCAATTTTTTTTTAAAATAGTGGAAATATATACCCTACATTAAAAATAAGGAACTCAAACATAATAACACAAATTCAATATTAAAATTAAGGGAGACTCACAAAAATGCCCCTTTTTCAATACCCCTTTTCAAAAATACCCCTTTTTTAAAACCTTATAAAAATGCTCTTAAAAATATAAGATTTACCCAAATATGTATGTAATATTATTAAAACATACACAAACTACATTTCTATGTATCTAAAATCTTATAAATACTTTATAAATACCTTATAAATGCATTTTAAATACCTTTAAAAACCTTTAAAATATCTTGTAAAACCTTTGAAAAACCTTAAAAATCCTTTAAAATAACTTGTAAAACCTTTAAAAACACCTTATAAAACCTTATAAATACTTAGATCGAGTCTTCAAGTAGTAGTTACAATCCATAAGTACCTTATAAACCTAATAAAACTTTATAAAAATTTCAGATTTAAAAAGGGGCATTTTTGAAAATGGACATCTAAAAGGGGCATTTTTGAAAAGGGGCACACCAAAAGGGGTATTTTTAACAATTTCTCTAAAATTAATCAATATCTCTTTTAAATGATTGAAATATATACCCTAAATTAGAAATAGAGAACCCAAATATAATATTTACAATTTATTTTGGTTAAATAGTTTTTATATAAAAATTGTGGTATTATTGAAAAAAATAAACGAGTGATATACTATTAAAACAAAAACTTAATAGTGAGTCAACTAATGCTATTTTTGGAAGTTTATTGAATGTTTGCTATAATTGTCCATAAAACCTGTTTTATTGCTATGTTGGAGAATTTTTCTATTTTTATACATTAAATTTCTGCACTTAATCACATATTTCACTTATTGTATTTTCACAATAATATTAAAATATTTATTTATTTATTTTATTAAATATTTGTAACCCGCAGACCGATCTGCAAATCCACAACAAAATTTGCTTAAGTCTGCAATTTGCCTGGACTTCTCCGCAAGAACCGTTTCTAAGCAAACCTAATATTTTATGTCCACATCAGCCATGTGGCCTCAACCCAGAGG